AGCTACACAATTTTATGTTTACATGTGTGTGCTTTGTGTACTCGAGTACATAAGGACGGAGTTTAGTTTGAGACCGAAACTCAAACGAGTAGAGGGTACAAATTTAGCGTAGCTGGCAAGTGCCGCCGTCTGAATTCATAAACGATGCACTCTCTACACTTCACGGATAAGATCTTTCCCGTGGGAGAGAGAGAGAGAGAGAGAGAGACCCTGCCACTGAAAGAGCATTCTCGAAGCCCTCATCATAATAATCTGAATAAAGCTCAAAGCCAAAAATTTATTTATCGTTTCTTTGATAAAAAAAATTATTAACAGGCAATTTTAATTAATAATTAGCAACCAGTGTGTCCTGAATTCTGAAAAACTGGTAAACGTTTTCGGAATAATTACCCTGGGATAATTTTAGAGACACAAAGGAGAGAGGAAGGACGAGCGCAGGGAGAATATAAATAAGGAACAAGTGCAGACATGTTTTGCATCCAGATCTCCGATTTAAAAGATCCTTCGGTTTGTCTGCAGTCTCTCTACAGTGTCTACAGTACTTAGTCTGTTCAGAGCGAGTAAAGAGAACAACCAAGTGGTTAAAGGGTGTCGGGCGTAGATTAAATCGCGTACAAAAGGCACGTGAGGGAATTGCGAGTGAAATTGCTGTAAAATCTCCCGGCTTAGCTTACTCGGCATCATGTCGGCAACAGTAACGTCTGCTCTTTACTTTTTATATCATCTTAATCGTTTAACTTTCCAGCACAGGCCTACAATACTCTAAACTATTGAAACTAATTGACTCGAGCTTTGATTTATTAACTTTTCTGATGTTTATACTTTCAAGGGGGTTTTAATTTCAAATGGAAATATTCCTTATAAATATTTATTTACTTTCCTCTTTGCAGATTTTAATATTCAGAATTTTAGTTTTTACAATATGACATACAACTTATTGTACTAGCGAGCGTGGATTTTTTACCAAGTAATGGTGTATGAGTCAGTCAAATTGTCATGGTAATGGACCAATCATTAGATAATGAATATTCAACGTTATAGAAAAACTGGAAAAATTTCAAAGGTACTTTGCATGCAGAGGATCAATTGTCACCTCCGTACCTTTTATTTGATTGTTTTTTTCTTTTTTAATATGTAAAATGGTCTACAATGTATGCCGACAAACGCCAAAAGTCTAAGTTTTTGTTTTAATTTTTCATTGAACACAGTAATTAAACGTTATTTAATTAATTTTTACGACCAGGTTATTAAACAAACACATGAGGTGGTAATTTCAATAAATTTATATTAAATGGTTATTTAATTTAGCACGTGTTCATCAAACGAATAGTGTTGATTAAATATATTGAAGTATTTTATTGCAGACCATTTTAAATAAATGAAATATTGGAGATTGGTGGATTGAGAGCACTAATTATTGGAGTCTTTATTTATTTATTCATATATGATGAAAATAATGATGTTAATAATTTAGTCAATAAAAAAAAAAAATGTCTCGTTTATTAATATAGATGAAAATTAAGCAGAATATAAATTAAATTACCTAGAAAAAATTTTTAAAAATGAATCTGAGAGTGTTAAACTTGAGTTGAGTTTTAATTTACAACAAATGTGAGTTGTGATAACGAAAAAACAGCGTCAGTGATTTAATTAGAGTTATCCAAGTTTACAAACAGGAGCCGGGAGTTTATTGTTAAATGTTTGCTTTAAAAAAGAATAAACAAAATAAAAAAAAAAAAAAAGTAACGAAGCTGTTAAAACCAGTAGGTGACTTGGTACAGCTTTCCTCCAGGAGCGCCCGAGTATCTGAACCGTGGATTACAGCAATAAATTATGCAGTGTAATAATGTTTGCCCGGATTAGCAGCCTTGTGTCTTTTGCCGGTGTCCCCAGGTTCCAATATTTCACGATGTACTACTACATCGAGTCCACTTTCCTGGTGAAAAATCTCCCAGACAAAAGACAAGATACAAGAGAGAAGGTACTGGTGCATTTTACTCCATTACAAAAAACTAAAGCACCTGCGAAGCCGCTGGCAGACGCCAAAGGCCGAGCTAACCTAAGGAAAATAAAATACCAAGCTTAATTTCAATCCTCTACAGTCTACAGTCTACAATCTTTCCGTCCAGCTAGTCATTTTACAGATATTATATATTTTTTTCTCCTGCATAACTTTTCAACGTCAACGTCAGCGGGTCCTTGTAATGCAGGACAGAGGAAAAGGAGGAGGAAAATAACAACAAGACAGATCCATACTATAGCTATATAATATATCTGTGTGTATGTATAAAAGACGGGGGAGGAGAAAAATGTAAATGGAAAATAGAATAATAATATTCCCAGGGGACAGATCGAAAAAATTAGCATACTGCAACAAATCTCGGGCGGCAGACATTTATTGTTATTATCGAATTAACTATGTACAAGTTGGGCTTTGGCTAATATAAATAAAAGAGCTAGGCTTGGTATTTTGTGATACTAGGTTATATGCGCATGATAAACCACTGAGAGCTTTTTTGTTGGTGATAAAAAAAATAATATGAGGTACTTTACGACAGTGGTTGCTGGAATCCCCAAGCCTGGATGATATGTCGCAGTACATCTTTAGATAAATTTTCAGTAACTTTACGGGCATACTTCTGCATCAACATTACATTAGACAAATAGTTTTGTTTGTCAGGTTAAGCGGGCGGGTGATAATCTGGGTCACGATCAAGTTGCTCGCATCGTGAAATTCCAAATGTTGCGGGAAGAAATTCAGATGCAAATCTAATCCAGTCTGTCTTGGTAGTCCATGGACCCGAAAGCGCAGAAAGCATCCAGCAGCCAGCAGCCAGCAGCCAGCAGCCAACATCCAGGAGGTATAAGCCAGTGCGAATTGTAATTGCGCTTTAATTAACTCGTAATTTAAGGACGTAGCTTCTAGTTGGAGGATTTTCAAAAGGGAGTGTCGAATTCTGTTAAAACAGTGCCTTTAGTAGTAGTATAGGGGAGGAGTAATTCGAACTATCCTCGACTCGGCTCGGCGGCAGTGTACTATCATGATTGCTACCGGGAATAGAGAACAGGGACGTTGGTCGGTAGCATCCTCAGCTCGGTAGCGCCGGCGAGTTTCTAGAGAGATTTCCACTCCTCAATTCATATGCAAATTAAAGCACAGAGAACGAGAGAATGGGCGACCTCCAGGCATTGTTCAACCGGAGTTTGGTGTCTCGGGTTGACTTACTACATGAATTTCCCGAAACTCCTCGGTTAGGGGGAGGAGGTGTCGACTCCGTGTAATTGATACTCACCCTTGTCACGGTTCTTTCCTCTCCGAGGTGCGTTTGCGTTTTGCTTTTACGTTTCGAACAGTTTGTTGATTTACTGGAGAGCCGCGACTAATATCTTGGCTGTTTTATTCCGAGAGACACCCACTTTCAAATAATAAAAAAGATAAATTTTTATTTCGAGCAGTCGCACTCGATCACCTAAGTCTGTTCTCGCCTTTTTTTTATTTTTCACTTTTTTCACGGGAAAATTTTTTTTTTTTTTTTTTTTTTTTTTTTTTTCGGTAAGATGACAAGGAGTTTCCGTCGCATTATCACCGGCCTCTTAGGAACTATTCATACTTTTCTGCCCCGGGGATTGTCTCGGAAAAAAAACCCAATCGTTATTTTTATTTTTTGCCCTTCTCAGTCTTATTATTTCTAGTGTCATTATCATTGTTATTATTTTTTACTGTTATTTATGTTATATTATTAATAATCCTTTGGGTTCTTTGTTTCATTTTTATCTCCAGTGGATTACTATCCACCCTGGGATATGAATAACGACTTGAAGAATAATTATTATCCTGATTGGTTATCTTTATTATTGTTTTTTTTTTTTTTGTTTGCTGTTGATAAAAAATTTTTAAAAAAATTTTCGATTAAAATTCAAGTGGTGAAGAAATATTTGATACGCGAGTCAAATAACAAAGTACATTTAAACTTTTTACCACCGGAAATTATACATATAAATGGAAATATTGTGTATCATTATTATTATCATTATTTTCGGTTAGGGAAAAAAATCTCCGGCACTTCTGTCGAGGTCCAATCCGCAATAAAATTAACATGAGTGAAAAATCTTTTATTTAAGAGGCATACATACGTGGGTATGTGAGTAAATTTTTTTCCCATGATACCTCTAGCACACCCTCAGCATTTAAAATGAAACTAAGCTCAGAAGGCACGTTCGTGTGACTTTATTATAGTTTTCGTCAAGTGGGTTTTCTTGTACTTGCACATGCTCACGCTCGCCCATCATCCTCCGAGCTACCACCAGAAAATCCACCTCGTTATATTATAAATTTATAAATAAAAGACCATATATATATATATATATATATTTCTTTTAATTATTATAAAATATTATATTCTGTAAAAAAAATTACTCGTGTAAGCTGAACCCTCGAGCACGGTGAATCCTACTAAAAAACTTTAATAAAGTCTGTCTAAAACCAGAAATGTGAAACCCTAAACTATTATACGACTTCACTAGTCAATATAGCTTTAGTTTTTAATTTTAATTATTTTTTAATAAACAAACAATTTTATTTTTAAAAAAATATTATTTATTAACTATAATTTGTAATAATTCCTTTAATATAAATTATCTAAACGTAAAAAGAGATAAAGTTTATAAAAAAGGCGAACTTGGTTTCTCAAATTTTCTTGAGTAATATTACGGTTTGATCCATTTAATGATGACGAAAACAAACACGAAGAGAGTAAATCATTGAAATTGAATTTTTTGTTGAGAACGAATTTCATTATAGACGATGGAACTTGACCAATACGCACTCGAGCGAGTAACTTTTTAATCCGTTAGACCGTTTTATTCGGTGTAACACAAAGAACCCGAGTATATAAGCCCGCGAGCTAAAAATCTAATTCAGTATCGACCCACAGTCTCAAAAGTGTTCATAAAGTAAAATAGAATAATAGCAAAAGCAAAAAAAAAAAAAAAAATAAAAAATGGCATTCAGACTTTTTGGATTATTAATTTTATCAGCGGTTTGTGTCGCTGTGAGGGCCGAGGGACACGCGCACTCTTTCCAGCACTTCCATGGCCCGGTAATCGGCGATGACCAGGAGATAAAGTGGGTTGACAAGCATGGACACCATCACGAGGACTCTGTTGCGCATCCTCACTACGAGTTCGCTTACGGAGTCAAAGATCAACACACTAACGATTTTCACGGGCAAAAGGAGCACCGCGACGGTTTGTTTTTTAATTATTTTTCTTTTTCTATTTTATTTTTATTTTATTAACTTTTCTATTCATAAAATAGGGAACGAAGTGTCGGGTGAGTACACCGTTCAAGAACCCGGTGGTAATATCCGGACTGTCAAGTACCATGCAGATGATACCGGTTTCCATGCTCACGTTCATAATAGCAATGGAAATGATCACGGCGATCGCAGAAGATAATTAAAAATTTTTTTTCCTCACTCAAATGACTTTCTCATTCTCAACTAAATAAATATAATCTATTTTAATCTACGTACTTTTGTTTATTTATTCGCATTTGATAAAAATCCTCCGCTGTCAGTGAATTAAATTAAATAAAAAGCTTAAATCGATATTCGAAACATCAATTAAATAAAATGCGAAAATTATTTTTCTGTCTGAAATGTGATCGTCGGCAATTAAAAGTTCGCCTGGCTTTCAGTGATCATAAAAACCAATTTATTTAATTAGCGCGTGAATGCATCCCAATTATTGACGTTTATTATTTGACAAAGGATACTGTTTATTATTGCCAGAGAAATACGGAAAATACGGAAAAGACAATTGGCTTTGTCTCGGCTGTGAAATGTCGGCACTCGTCATATCAACAATGCCCTCTCTTTTGAAAAATAAATACTGATATATGCTTATTTATCTAGATAAAAATTAATCACTCGTATATATATTTTGAAGTTTTAATTGTCAATGTTGGTACTAAAAAAATTAATATTTTCAACTGTAATATTAAAGTTAAGAAGCTCGAAAATTTCCAATATAAAGTTTAATGACACTCATAGTAAAATTTAAAATAAAAGGTTGTCAATACGTCAATCCCTGTAACCCGAGTATTAAAACTATAACAAGAGATTAAACATTTTTAATATTATAAATTTCATTGTTATTATTTGAAAAGTAATTTAGTGAAAGTTTATTCGCAATAGTTTAATACTTTTAAATCCAGCGATCGTGTTTTACGGATTCAATCTTTGTCTGCAATACAATTTTATTAATTCATTTTTTTATTTCTTCCTCTTGTCTTCGGATTAAGAAAAGAAAGATAAATAAACGGTATACCTAATATCCGAGTTGCTCTGCTTTGTATGTCGATATATTTATTTCAAAATTATTTTCTCAGCCTTTTATCGTTATTGAAATATAAATTATTATGAGAATAATGCCGAGTTATTAATAAATTTTATATTGATAATAATAATAAATTAAAATTTAGGAATATCGTATGTTAATCTCAGTTAAATTACTCCCCTTTGTTCGCCGGAAAATTTAATTTACTGAATATAATACAGTAAATCCATCGACCAGTAAAAACGTTATCGATTTTATCAATAATTATAATCCTCATGCATTATTATTCTCTGGGCATCATCCCGGTAAACAATTATTATAAATTTTAATAAAATGCGTCAAAGTTTTTTATTAAAAAAAAAAAAGAGAAAAAAGTTTATAAAAATCGGAGCAGACGTCTTGAAAGGTTTAAGCTTGTTTGGTGGATTCGCAATCAATTGGAATTGTTCGAAATTCAGGTGTGTTCTGGTGTTATGAGCTTATTTTTTTGTAACGAGTGTACTCGATGTGAGTGAGCGATATTGGGTGAGTTTTCGAGTGAGCTGGTGACCCCGCGCCAGTCCTAGAGAGATGAACAAAGAGCCTCGTGGATGCGTTCAGATTGAAAGGAGGGTGGAAAGGCTAAAATTTTCATCGACCGATTTTGATTCTGATTCATAGTGTATAGTATTATACACGGTCTATGGGGATATTCAATAGATTTAGCTGTTCAAATAGATTTAGATTTGATCATCAACACTTGAATATTCAATACATATATACTTCCACTCCCGATTATCTCTTTCAAACTATTTTTAAAATTTACTTGTTTTTATTATTTGGATACTTTACAGAGTTTTATTTTATTTTTTTTTTTTTAAATTAACTACCGAGTATATCATTTATGGCCTTAATAAAACGTACTTGAGAGATTAATCTTCTTTTTTAGGTAATAAAATAATATCGTGTGGATCAAAAATTGAAGTTTTATCAAAAATCGTAAAAAATGTCGTTACCTTTTTTTGCAGCCAACAAATAATTGTAATTCATTTATAACCGTCATAAGCATGAAATTTTTCATCACCTATAGTTTATCGTAATATATCTAAAGATATAAAAATATTTCCCTTGGGTAAAAAATACGCTCGTCTCTCGAGATATTACTTCAAGCCAGAGTAGATAGTTCTTAATGCCATTTTTCCTTTAAAATGGCTTATAGTCAGTCAAAGTCTTAAAAAAAATATATAAATCGTTATCAAAAAATCGAATCATATTTATTACAGAGTTTATATTATAAATTTTTCATATGTATTATCTAAACTTCCATAAATTTTCATCAATAGTTTATTTAGTTGCTATAATTAGTGAAAATTAATTACATATCCAGGTTAAATTCATTTTGATTAAATATCCGAAATGAAAAGTTGTCTATTGAATCAATATTATATAGTTTAAATAGCCCTGTTTAGTACAATGGAATAACAATTATTATTATTATTCGGTGAATTTCCGCAATATCTACCGGTTGAATGATAATTGAAATTATTGACATTTCTATAATAACATCATCAATATATTATTATTTTATACAGCATTAATAATTAACGAAACGAGAATAAATTAACTTTGTTATTTAATTTATTATTAAGAGAAGCTAAATTGTTTTTAAAATATATATATATATATATATATATATATATATTATTTTTTCATTATGCTAATAATATTTATGTATGCAAATTTACCCGAAAGATTGAAATTATAATGTAAGAATAATTTCAATAAAAAGTTTAATAAAACAAGACACTTTGCGCCATCTGTCAGAACTAAGCCTCAATTATTAACAATTCTTTGGGCTTCGTGCATGATCGTCGTTTTCCGATTGACGAAACGAAGTATCTGGAGCGTGCGCTTTGCCTCGGCCATTTCACATCGAGATTCGCAGAGGTGAGTACCGACAAACTTGGTTTCTCTAAAATTAACCCTTCAATATTAATTATTTATAAGTTTAATTCCCGATCAATACTCTCCGACTAATTTTACTACGTACTACACATTTAAAATATTTAATTAAGAATTAATATTTCATAAAATCGATAGAATTAATATAATTTAAATGGAAGACTCGAGTTCAGACATAACCTCTGGCCACATGGCCAAGCAGTTGACTCCTGAGGAACTAGATAAAATGCGGGCTCAAAATTCTCGCTTGGTGCCGGAAAATCGCGCATTATTGCTGGAAAAAGACGCGAAAAAATACTGGGACCTGTTTTACAAGAGAAACGACACGCGGTTCTTCAAAGACCGACACTGGACGACACGTGAATTCGAGGAATTGGCGAACCGAGGTGGATCAATATTCGAAGTCGGCTGCGGGGTTGGGAATTTAATTTACCCCTTGTTGGAAGATGGATTAAATTTTAAGCGTATTTATGTCTGCGATTTATCACCGCGAGCTATTGATTTTGTCAAGGTATACTTTCGTTAATTAAACCTCCATTTAACTCGGGGGGGGAAAAATTTTAATTTAAATTCTTATTCTTCTAGAGTCATTCCCTTTACAACGAGAATAAAATAAAAGCCTTTCAAACTGATATTACCACGGATAATTGTTTTTATCAGGTTGATCAACACGTGGATGTTATTACACTAATATTTGTTCTATCCGCAATTCATCCGGATAAATTTAACATGTAATTTTATTATTATTATTATATTAATTATTTAAAAATTTAAATAACATTAAAGTTAGCAGTCACAACAATTTTTTTTTGCCTAATTTTTCATCAAATTTATTTATTAATTAATGTACTTATTTTACAGAGTCGCTGATAATTTATTCAAATGTATGGCCAAAGATGGAGTCCTCCTGTTCCGTGACTATGGCCTCTACGACATGGCTCAGCTGAGATTCAAACCAGGAAACAAAATCGCTGAAAATTTCTACATGCGGCAAGATGGAACCAGGAGTTATTACTTTTCCGTGGAGGAACTCCAGAAGATCTTCGAATCCGCTGGATTCGAGACCATCACTTGCGAGTATGTCCACAGGCGCACTGTTAATGTCAAGGAAAAAGTAGACGTTCCTAGGATTTTTGTCCAAGCAAAATTCAGGAAGCCTTGAAGTATAACTAAGTTACCTTTTTTATTGATTTAAAAAATTGTATCGATAAAAATTCAATGATGATTTCATAGTTCAGCTGATTTAACATTGATGTATTACTTAGCAATGTCTTTCGCTCCTATCTGATGATTTTTATCGTACAATACTAATTTTGTTTCTTATCAAAGCAGTGACTAATAAATTATTTATTTGCTTACAGAACTCTGGGTTTAATGAAAAGCTGTCTGGAAAGGTGAAACTCCAGAGAGGTTAATTGAAATCATTTAAATTTAATTAAAAAATATTGAAGCTTTAATTTATAATTTATAATGATGACTTCATAGTTCAGCTGATTTAACGTTGATGTATTACTAAGCAATGTCTTTCGCTCCTATCTGATAATCAATAAATAAACTACGAGTTATTTATAATCCCCAAATGAATTTCTAATGTGTCTATTTTCTCCCCAGATCTAATAAAGGACCACGAGATTAGATCAATTTGATGATTCAAAAGTCAAAAGGTAATTTATAACTTTGATACATTAAATATTTAGCTAAATAAATAAAATGATGACTTCATAGTTCAGCTGATTAATCATTGATGTATTACTTAGCAATGTCTTTCGCTCCTATCTGACTAAAATAACTCTTTAAAGTCAAGATACTTTTTTTTTAAATAAATAATAATTAACAAAAGTATCTATTTATGTTCCAGAACGGTCTCGCCCACACCAACGGATATGATGAGCCCTAAATTATTAATTTAACCCCTGGCGCCTATACTGAGGTACGTTGATATTCAATAAATCAAACACTGTAGCTTTAATAATCTATTAAATTGATAAATCAATGATGGATATCCAAGGGATTGAATACTTAATGATATTAATAATTTTAACGTCACTACCACTGACTAAATTTAAATATATATTTGTTATTATTGTAAATTAAGCTACTAGATTCTCAATATTGGAAAATTATTTCAGGTGTCGATCCAATTGACGAGCTGTTCCGGCTCAATAATCCGGCTCACCTGTGGTAAATATTTATTCTAATTAGTCACTCTATAATTGTACGGGCTTTCATATGATGAATTTACGCACTGAATCTTTCATGAATGATAAAAACATTTATGTATTAGCTCTATCTGATAAAATTTCAATTTAATTTATTGATAATTTAAACTCAATTGGCAATTTTATAATAACTAAATTTTATTTCAGGTCACTTGGCTGGGATTCAAACTTGCGCAGCTTCCGCCTGTTGGTCACCTAAAAATTATAAATTAATGCACTTATTTAAATAAAATAAATTATTTTTTATAATTAAAAAAATTAACCTTGTCGTCTTCTGTGAATTAATTTACCTAGAGGACACTTTGTACAAAAAAGACAGAGAAATAATATAAAGACAATTATTAAAATAACAGCAGCTATTAATCCGCTGAAGCGTTTTCCATATTCCCTTTAAAGTAAACAATATTTATCGGTTATCTTTACATGCCATCAATTATTTAAATTTTATTTATGGATTAAGTCAATAAAAATTCCATTGAATGAAAAAACCGATAATCTGATGATTCGGTGAATCTATTTTTTAAATAAAATGGATACAAATTATCTGTCAGGAAATCGGATTACTCATTCAATAAATTATAAAATTATTTAAATCGATTTTTTTTATATTAAATTATCTTACCGCCGTCGGAATTCAATAAACGGGCAACAGTAATAATAGTCCATATCAAAATTATAACAGCATGTGTCTTTGAATGGCCTGGACGAATCGTTACACACTTTTTTGTTCGAATTTTCCAGGGTTTTACACTTAATCTCTCTTGCGTTTAAACCAATCACTGAAAATGTAAACAATTTATCTGAAAGGTTACCGCTTAAATGGAATTTTAAAATTTATTTACTCTCGCTTTTAAAAGATTATATCTGTTGTTTTTTTTTTTTTTTTTTTTTTTTTTTTTAACTGAACAATAATTATTAATTTATTTAGAAAAATTCTCAAGTACTTTTATAAACATTATTAATGAGCATATACCTTTTAAAATTATCTCTCTTTATCGCAGAACCCCATAAAATTTTCTATTAAATTTATAATTAAGATTCACATTATGCAATCTAAATATTTTAAGGCTAAAATCTTTTTACTAATCGACATTTGTTCATGAAACCAGAAAGAATTAATTTTTTAGATGGATTACCGTAAAATGAAAATTAAAAAATGATACAGATATAAATAAAAATGTAAATAATTTATGGAGAAGTAAATGTGAATTTATTTAAATCAAAAAAGCCGGTAATTCCATGTATGCCTTTTTGGAATTATAGAGATGCGATATTCACCGGCATGAAATGGTCAGAGAATTTATCTGCATATAACAGATGAAAAATCCGAGGCTCGATATGCAATAGAGATAGTTAAAAACAATTTTTTTTTTTTTTTTCTTTTTTTTTTGTCGAAAGTATCTCAAGTGTCAGTTGTTAATAAAATTGAATTCACTTTCGCAATTGCGTATAGAGAAATCCAGAAAAGCGCTTAATGTTAAAAATGAAAGCAGCAAGAGCGGCAGACGGCCTGGATAAAATACGATAGGATATATTAAATATTATTTATTATAAATTTATAATTATAAACTATGCAGTACAACGTTGTGTTATTTTTAATATTTTATTATTTATTTTTCACGGCACTTACCGCAAAGCATTAGCATGATTACTACTCCAATGAAAGATTTATCTGAAATGCATCTCAATGTAGGAGCATACTTGAGAGCCTCAGACATATTTTAAAAACTTTCTTATAATCCTTTTATAAATAAAAATTAACACATTATTATAGTCGCATTAAACCTAAAAAGTACACTCAGAAACAAAATGAATAAAAATATATATAATAAACAAGTGAATAAGTTCAATAGATTATTATATCAAAAAAGGAGCTAGAAAGTGTCGCAATAACACTTTTGAGTATCTACTGTCTGCACTCGGTATTAATTAACCGGCGTGCTCTAGAAATTGTTCAACTATTATATGCTTTTTTTTTCTTTTTTTTCAAGAGTAACTTTCGGAAATTTGTTGTTTGTACATCATTAAAAATAATAATAATAATAATAATAATCGTTATTTAACAAGGCAATTATCTTCTGTTTGCCGAATTTCTAACACTCGGTGTATTTGTATTTACCGTTTGGTAAGAATACATCAGGAATAGAGTTAATATTTTACGTTGATAAACAGAGACCCCGTGGTTTAGTTGGATTAATGCCAGTATTTGTGGTTATTGCTTAATATATATTTACAACTCTTTTACTTTCTTTTCTCTAATCGGCATTTTTAATTCCCATAAGTTATATACCCAAAATGTAATCTCAATAAATTACCTCAGCTTCGGCGAGCAATCAATCAATTTAAATAAAAATTCACTTAGTCTACCTTAATTTATTTATAAATCCGAAATTATGAGTTTTACTTGATAATAAAAATTTTTAATTAAAATTATTCAAGTTCATAAAAGTCAAGTTTATAAATAAAAATATTTAACCGAATAATTATATAAATTAATTTAGAGAAACAAAAATGATGACACGCAATGACCTAAATTACTGACCTTAATAATAAATAATAAAAACATTTATAAAATAAATTTCTTTTAAAAATATTACACAATAAAAATTTCGATTTTAGAATTATATATATATATATATATATATTATTTTTTTTTTTTTGAATTACTTTCACTGTAAGTTACCGTGAGTTGAATTTAACCATTCTTATTTATACAAATAATATATATGATTACGTACATGGACACCTCTCTTACTTATTCCTCGAATTTATATCTATGCTAATTCAATAAAATATATATTTCCTTGTAGCTAGCTGATAGATAAAAAATAAAATAAAAACTTCTCAGATCTCTGATTGAATAAAAATAAAGTCAAGACGTTCGAGTGAAACTTTGAAAAGATGATCGGGATTCTCCTTCGAGATTTCCGAATTGTTCATCGATATAACAATAGATGTAACATTGTAACAAGTGTCAAACGGTAACAGAGTATATTGCTCAAGAGTTAGTTGTATTGATGAAAGCGACAAACAGAGTTAAGAAAGTCTATTGTAATTCGAGGATGGTCGTGACCCAACAGTATTTATATATGTGCCGGCGGTATCACCGGTTCAATTTAGTCACCGTGGAATTGTTCATCAGCAAACAATAATTAGTTTCACGTCATCACCCAGAGTATCAGTACACCAAGTTTTAGTTAAAAGTTTCCGATAAATTCAGTGGTGACTATTTAAAGTGTCTTTAAAATGAAGCTTCTGGTAAGACCGTGCATTAAACACCCCTTGTAATATGTTATAAATAATTCTGATAAATAATTCACTTACAGATAGTCTTGGGGTTGGTTGCGGTGACGTTTGCCACCGAAAATAAAACCTTAAGTGCCAGGAGCGATATCGATTTAATAGACCCAACCGAGGATAACAGTGCGGGCAGTCTCCAGAAAAGAGAATCTGGATATTTATACTCGCGACCTCGTCCGTCTTTTTCCTCCAGGATTAAAAACATCAAAAATAAAAGACCCGGCCGCGTGGTGCGACCTTTTATGACCTACGGCCCGCCTAAGAGTCCGGCTTACTCTCCCTCGAAAAACAAGTACCAGAATGTTAATTCAAACCAACCGAATCCGCAATACCAGACTCCGGATCCGTTAAGAATCGTCGAGTTCACGAAGCCCAGCCCCATCGCCAGCCAGAATGAGGAACCTTTTAAGGCAACTTCCGCGAATTATCTACCCCCGAAGAATCAGAAGCTTCCGACGCATCCCGCGACTTACTTCCAGCAGTCTCAGAATTTCCAGAGCCAACAACTCTTGCAAAATCCTCCAGTGAGCAGCCAAATTTCGGACGCAGCCCAATTTTTGAGGCAGAACGCCCCCGCAATTTCACAACTGTACAAAGCACCGGGGATCAATCAAAACTACGAGCCTCTTCCTGAGCAGAATCCGACCATAAGCTCGCGGTCTCACCAATCGGAAGCTCTGCCCTCGTATGCTTCCGGGACTCTAGAGCCTTACCGGTCTCTTCAGCAGATCCAGTCGCTGGAAAAGGACCAAATTATAGCGGAGCTTCGTCAGCAACTGGCGGTCCAGGACTCTCAGAGGTACGCCACAGAACAAGGACACTTTTTTTCAAACTTAGACACCCAAAGTAATAAGGGACTTACCGGGCAATCTGTTTATGGGCCTCCGACTGCAGGTGACCAGCCAGCCCTGGAAACTCAAAATACCAATCAAGGAAACTCTGTTCCCACGTCGTTTGGAATGCCCGCCGCGTTTCCGTTTTCTCAGTACGCGGGGGGACTCACGCCGGTAATTGGAGGGACAAACTTTGTGACCGGTACCAGTTTGCCGACTTTCTTTGGATCAAACGCTCCGGGACAGATCGACTCGCCCACTCACTTCTCTCTTCCAATTCCCAGTAATAACAAGCCTCTGACGCCTGCGAACACAAAGCCTCCTTTCCCGTCTCTGCATCCAGTTTCTGGGGCTGGTGGACATTATCCAGCGCTTGGTTCTCATCCTCAACTTCAACCACTTCCTCATCCACAGCCACAGCCCATTCACCCAATTCACCCAATTCACCCAATTCAAACCGTCCATCCAGTCCATCCAGTCCAACCCGTCCTCGGAGTCCAGACAGTTCCTGTCAGCCCTGTAATTTTAAAACCCGTAAAACCAGTATTCCCGGTCTACTACCAGAGTGTTCCCTATGTAATACAAAAGCCGTCTTTGGCAGCCCCATCCTACTCTGTAATAAAATCCGCTCAAATTTGGTGATTATCTTATTATTATTATTATTATTATTGTTATCAAACTACTTTTGTAAATAGTTTTTATTTTTATTTATTTATACTATAAAATAAAAAAAAAAAAAAAATAAAGAAACATAAAATTAAGTACTTTTTTTGTGGTTTTTTTTATTTTTGTTTTTTGGTAAACACTTTACGAGTATGACTATATTAGGGGCGATGATGTCGATGTAATTAAGAGTGGCACGTCACCTAATATTTAACGTTGGAAAGTCGACAGGTAGACGTGAAAATTGTACGGCGTACGTGCTCACTTCTTCCCGGGTAAAAAAAAAACTCTCACCAAAGTTCAGTTACACTTGACTCCCTCATCGATGTGCTGTATTATTTAGATCGCGACCTCGAAAGTCATTTAATGTATTCGAGCCACGCGCCCTTGTCTCTCCTGCATACTTAATACCCACAGATCAAAAGATTAATTTTATAAATGTTACTACTTTAACAAAATCAACCAACACCCACTCAGTTCACCCATTTTTTTACATAATTAATACATCTTAAATTTTCCTATTAAAATTACAATCATTAGAGCCAAGTGTAATTAGCTTGAGTGATATGCATTTGATATTATATTCAAAGTCAAGGTTTGACATTCACATGTTTTATTATGCTCTTGGCTCATGAGTGTCTCAACGGAAGTTGCATTCACTTTCTGCTACTGACCCAAATATACGCCTTTTCATTTTAATCCACTGAAATATATACTTTTACTTATATTTTATATATCTATTAGTTTACTGCCGGTTAAGTTAAATTAAACCACATGGGGATTTCCTACAAGTATATTGACTTTTTAGTGTTTTATTTGAGAAATCATGGGATGCGGTAGCACCTCAAAAGAAAATATAAAGAAAAAAAATTCAAAAGTACCACACCCTATTTTTAAATAGAAATTATCTTTCAATAAGAAAGAAAACAAAAGTAATTTAATATCACAACACACTCAATTAAACTCTCATGCCATTGACTCCAAGTTGTTTATCGAGAGTGAAAGGTTAAAATTACCCTTTACTAAGCTAAACGCTCTAGCTCTATTGAAAACTTCAATTTACAGATGAAATGATAAAATAATAACACAACAAAAGTTTTGACTTAGTACTTCCGCTTGCTAAAAGATTGAAAGGATATATATATATTTATGATATAAAAAAAGTTCCCGTGAATTTTCATCTAGAATTTCAAATAAAAACCCCTCATTATTATATATGTTATATTATGTATCTCACAATTGAATATAACTTACACAATTCATACATGAGACAATTAAACTTTCTTCACTTTAAAGTCACGATATCGGAAATTAGAAGCGGTATCCGCTAATTTATTCATAATTCATTTGCATTTATTATTTATGCATAATATCCGTTTGTCACGCTTTAAATAACAATATAATTGGAGATTTTATCCTGGGAAACTACTAACAGCCTGATAAAAAAGTAACAAAAAAACACATTATTATAATAAACCACAAGAAAAGTAAAACCGTTACTGTTAACATAACTTGTCGGAGCCATTGTCTCAGTTTGTAAAACACAAACCGTTTTGTTCCATTGTTTTTTCCTCATAAATAAATATTGATGTCTTTTCTTCATCTGGTACTTGTGTACATACTGCTCTATAAATATGAAATCGTTGGAATGCGTTTAATTTTATATTCATGTTTATGTTTATACATAGGTATATGTATTGATTGAAATTAATAGCTGCGACAGTTTATCCGTCTATGCAAGTGAGCGTATGTAGATGTAATTTTTGTTTAGATTTTACCTTCACCTAGACCTCTCATTTCTCCCATATATAAACAAGAGGGGATCCGGATATAAAGGCTGTCCCCTCGATAGTATAACTATCACTACCGACACCAACACTCTTAATCACTTACTAGCCACTGGAGTGAATTTTCCGTCGCTGATACAAATAAAAGTCACCCCTCAACAGACAATGCGACTGGTAAGTTATTTCCAAAATCAATCTTTCATTGTTATTAGTATATCATGCACTCATTTAATCAATCCTTTTGTTGTGATAGATATTGATAACGATATTGGCGTTAGTGTCATCTGGATTTTCGCGAGACTTTCGCAACGAAAGACGACTACGCAAGTATGGACCTCTACCTCTTAAGGACAAAAGAGGCTCAGAATTCGGTCACCCAGGACATTCTTACTTCATGCCGAGTCACCCCAATGGACCCTACTCTGGAGGAAATTCTAAAGGCTACGAAGCTTTAGGAGGTTACGGACCTCCGTCCGGTTCAAAAGGCTACGAAAGTTATCTCATGTCGCCCTCCAAAGGTTACGAAAGTTCGGGACATTCCTCTTCAAAAGGATACGAGGGTTTGGGGAGCTACAGCAGTCCAACACCTTCCAAAGGATACGAGAATTTGGGGAGTTACAGCAGTTCAACACCTTCGAAAGGTTACGAGAGTGCCAAACAAGGAAGCGGAGAAGCCGGATATTCTCACGGAAGCTCAGGACAGGGTGGATTGAACCTCGCGGCGTTAACTCTCGGGCAATCTTACGTACCAGCTATATCAGCTGGCAAAGGTGGACCAGTTACTTTTGAATCGCAAGGCCAAGCTTACATGAGCCAACTGTATTCTTCTCCTGCTCAAGCTCTGTCTTCCATCAACCTCCAAGGTCTCCACGGATTCACCAACTCTCAAGGTGTCGGCATTCCAGTGATAAGTTTCGGATCTGGGTACTCTGTACCCGCTGCTGTCTCTACCCAGAGCTACACTGTTCCAGCTTCTGGCCACAGGCTGGTCATTTCAGCTGGCCATGGACCTTCTCACGCTCAAAGCGCCCAGTCTTCTCCAACACCAGCTTCAAGTTACGAAACTTCTTCTTACCAAGTGCAAAGCGAGTCAGGCCCCAGTTACCACGTTCCATCTTCCTCTTCTTCTTCTTCTTCTTCTTCTTCTTCTTCTTCTTCTAGTTCTAGTTCTGGCTACCAAGTTCAAGCTCCGTCGACCAGTCCTAGTTATCACCAACCACAACAGGGACAAAGTTATCAGGTTTCAATAAGCCCAAGCTATCAAATTGCCTCGAGTCCCAGCAGTTATCAATCCAGCGGAATGCCCTCCAATTCCAACTATCACTCTGGATCTTCAACTTCTTATCAGGCTGCTCCTTCCAGCGGGTCTTCCGGAGAATCTAACTACCAATCATCGTCCTCTTCGTATTCTGAGCCAAGTTATCACTCGGAAAATAGTTACTCGAACCCCTCTTACTCTGTTCCAAGCACTAATTACGGAACGCCTTACGCTACTGCCCAGAAAATAATTTACTCACCCCCTTCTCAGTACACTGGGCAGTCTTCTTATCCTCCTACCAGTTATTCGAATTCTGCAGTTTCTTACGGGCCCGCTGATAGCTCTCAGAGTTCTTATTCGTCCTCAGAATCGTACTCGGCTCCTCAGTCCCAGTTGCAAACGTATTCAGAACACCAAGGTGCTTACTCAAACCCTAACCCAATGTACTTGAGCTACGCATACAAACCAGGAATGTACAGAAATATAAAGGCTGATCCAAAATATGACACTATCTCATATTCAGATTCAGACCAGCCGATGGAATAATTCTTGCCAAATTGTAATTGCCTATTTTTCGTTGGTATAAACGTTACTCAATATTTATTAATGTATATTTAAGCGATTATTTATATAATTGTTATCGAGTATTACATATTTTTTACGTGATAATTTAATGAAGAGTTGTATTTTTTGTTGATAAAAAATCTTAAAATATTAATATTGTGAAATCTCGTAGATTAATAATTTAAAATATTGTTAAATAAAAAACGGTGTATAAGAGAAAAAAAAAAAAAATGAATCATATGTATCATGAATTACAAGAGTAAACACCTTTCTAAATATTTATTAGTTGAGAAAGTATTATAGAGCATGTACGATGGAAAGTACTCTATTTTATTTATTAATTCGATATATTCCTCTTTTTAACTGCTGTTGTTACTTATTACTCATTTTCATGTATAATTAACTGTTTTAATTTGTCATTAAATCATATATATATATATATATGTTTTAAATGTACACCAAAAAGTTCAATAAATAATAAATAAATGAAAAAGAAAGAGCTGTTGAATTATTTAGATTTTTTTTTTTTTTTTTTGACAAATGGGTCAAGTTCAATGGTTCAAATCATTGAAAGCTCATTTCCAATGATTTTCGCGTTATAAATAGCCGGTATAAGCTTACATGCTAAAAGTGATCGGTACGATGAATTGAATGGGCAATAATGCACCTGACCCACTTTTAACGTGCAAACGCATACATTTATTCATTAAAGTATTTTTAAAAACCAAAAATAACAAAAGTCCATGTGCGTGAATGTTTATTTAAACATTATTATTAAAAGTTATTTATTTTGTGATAAAAGAATGAGTAATTTCTCGCAAAAATAAACCAACAAGAACGAGAGGTCAGTCTTTCTTAATTTAAAAAATCATGAGAAAATCAACTTTTACTCTTTACCGAGGAATCTGAAAATCATTAGTTGACTTTCAGATCCGCAGTGAAAGACTTTAACAAAAAATTAAGTAATAAATATGTATTAATCAGCACTACGATTAACATATGAATAATAAATCTACGAAAGCATGATGATTAATTGATCGATAAAGGTAAAGGTATAATCGTTGATTTAAAAAATTTCCGCCGATTTTGCGAGGCGTGGTCTTAATCTATATGTATATACTCTTCTAGCAGAAGTGCGGCTAGATCGGGAGAAAGTGAAAACAATGAGCCTTTTCTCTAAAAAATAAAAAAAAAAAAATAAAAAAAAAAAAAAAAAAAGAGCACAGGATGCCGGAGTAAGAGCCAAGACCCGCAAAAAGCAAAAAGAGACAAGACAAAAGGACAAGACCGTTTATTTTTCAATGTACTGCTGCATCATGGGGTTCCTTTCTTTCCGTGATTGTGATTATATTTGCAAGGTTCGTGGCATCGTACCAACTAGACCAAAAAAAAGTGGACGAGCAGTAGAGGGCATTATCGGGAAAGTGATTCGAACTATCGAATAGGGAGTTTGCGTGCAAAGATGAGAGTACGTCCGGTATTTTATAGTCTATCGCCTACATGTATACTGCTCTGTTCTCTGTATTCTGTATTCTGTAATTTGTATTAATGGACTGGGAAAAAAACAATAGACTGGTTTGCCTGGGAGGCGAGAACAAATGAGACATTAATTTGGCTTGGAATAATCAACAGAAATAGGAGAATCGTAGACAGTAAAAGCCTCTTTCACTATTAACTATTTGTGTAATGCAAGAAAGAATCCAAGCAAGAACTGATAAAATAAGGCAGCCGAAGAAATTTATTACCCAAACGAGTTTGATTATATTTTCACTGCTTTAACGAGTCAAGTCTCAACTCTGATCGAGAGATCTCAGCTCATTGATCGTCTTCAAGCCAATTCAAGCGTCGTTCCTTCCATTACCAGCTTCATTACCGTCAATCCTCACAATATTATTACTATCAATTGCATACGAGCTGTAAACCCGTGTTTACACTTATACATATAAGATCAGGGAAAAGTTAAACTAGTTTTCGGAATTTTTCATGATCACCTTACCACACACTCCAACAGTATAAAGGAGAAATTCAATGTCAGAGTCGTCATTAGTTCTCAAGCTCGCCTACAGTTAACTCTGTGATTCAATTAAATTATAACTTTGCTCTAACTACTCATTAATTTTAATGTGTAAATAACTTGTGACCATGAAAATCATTGTAAGTAAACAAAATAAACTCTTTATTTATATATTTAATAATGTTTTAATCAATATATAACTATAATAATATGTGATGTGTTAATTAAATTATTTATATAAATTTTTAAAGTGAAAAAATGATTTATTATTGTCGGTATACCCTCAAAGGTTAAACTATTATACAATAATTTGTTTTTGTTCCAGATAATTTGTCTCTTGCCGGTGATATCTGCACAAAGATACCGAGGACCCAATGAAGACCCGTTTCTGCCGATTTATCCCATCTACCCGTACAACCCGAAGTTGATGAAGCGCGGCGTGGAGAAGGATTTTTTGTCCCAACTAAACCCAGAAGTTTTTGCACCAAAACACACGCCTCGTGACTCCCCGTACGTTAATTATTATTCTGGGAACAATAACCGAGATCAGAGCACGACCAGCGGTTACCCTCAGGCGTACACAACAATGTCGACGATTAATTTACCCCATAACGTTAATTACAACAACAATCCCTCGAGTCTCTACAACTATCCACTGGCCGTTTTAGCTCAGCCTCAGATGTACACCACTGCGGGCAATTATCCTCATTACCACTCAAATTACCAGCAAGCTTATTACGCTCAGCAGAGCTACCCCGGTAAGAGCCAGGAGAAATTACGCAACGAGTCAACCTCAAAAGACACCTCTTTCATCGACGGAACCAATTACATAACCATCGTGAAGGACCTCAAGGACCTGGAGACCCAGGCGACTGCTCAGATACCCAATGGCTCTTACAGACTCCTCGGATTTGAAGGAGTCCAGCGTCCTCCGCCTCCATCTCCGCTGGCTCCTCAACCAACTGCCGCTGATTCTTCTTCTTCTTCTTCTGGATACAGGTACCAGCATCTGGATCAATCGATGGCCCAAGCTCTAGGAAGACTTCTCAGCCAGCAGGCCGCAATTTCCCCTTCAGCAGCTCCTACTTATGCTCCAGTTGCTCAGAATCAGTACGATCCAAACGATGGATACCTTCCGCAATCTATTCAACAGAGCTCACCAGTGATTGCCAAAACAGGACTGGCTTATGTGATGAATCCCATGCCTCTGAACATCGTACCGCGACATATTGCTCGAGGACAGGACTACCAGGACCCCAGGAATCAAGTGGTCAGGCCAGCAGCCACTCAAGTCTCTTTGGAACCTTCTCAGGGCATCTACATCCCACCAATGAAGGTCAAAAGTCCCCTTCGGTACTCTGATTACTACACGCAGACTAATAATCCTGCAGCCATGTACCCTCCCGCGGATCAGCCGATTAATCCTGCTCCGTATGTTTATCCTTCTTACGCGGGATACGCCGGGATGGCCAGCCCCGAGATGAATTACAGGCTGATAGACAATAATAATAACAACAACTATTACGCTACCAAAAGAAACATCAAAATGTCTTAGATAATAATAGTTAATAATGTGAATCTTGTTTTTGTTATTTTAGTAGCCTAGTTATCTTTGTATTTATTTTTTATTGTTATTGTTATTGTTTATGGTTATGCTCGTTTTTACGAAGTTGTTTATTAAAATAAAGTATTAAACATGATGAGAATTTTGAATACATTAATGGATATAAGATATATCATATCATAAGCATATAAGAGAGTATTATGTTTAGTTATGTATGGTATATATTAAGGAGGAAGACTTTCTATCTCGATATATTTGATATCTGGATGAAAAAAAGAAAAAAAAAAAAATATATTGTAGATGGTATTTATTATGTAGAGAATAACAGAATAACAACTTGGATCTGATTGTGGCTTGAACCAGGATAAGGATGGTCTACTTTGTTTTTTACCATTCTCTCAAAAGTATGCGGTAGTTGATTCGTTCTTTCTTGGTATAGTATTTATATAAATACATATATTTATATGTGCTAGTGGCTACTCATATCCGTGGATGGACACCGTTTACTTTCACGTGTTTTTTTTAGTTCATATTCCAGTAAATTTAATTTAATCGAGAATCAGACTTGGGACCAAATTAGAGATAGCTGTTTTGATGCCAACCAAAGAAAGGATGATTTGTCATGGCTCTGTTTTTTAATCCACTGGCCCCGAGTCTCCTCGATTGTTCTCAGTAATTTCAATTATCATTAAAACACAACTTACAAATTAAATTTTTAATTCCAATAATTAATTTATTTCAAGTCGGTGTAATTAATAACAAATATTAATTAATTTTTAAAAACGTTTGTTTAAATAACAATCCATAATTCATTTTACCGGCCTGTAATTACGATGAATTATTGGACAGGAGTTGAGTAAGTTAAAAAACTGACGGTTCCTAAAATTGACAGCTTAATTTTACGGTAATTATTTTTCGAGAATAATTAAATCTAAATATTATGTATTATAAGTATGTATTCTAAATTGCAAAATCGATCGCTAAAAAGGAATCTTACGAAAGTGGTAATTGGCTATGATAATTACTCATCAGTATACATATTATTATTATTATTATTATTATTATATACATACTCGCGGTCTGATATTAGATTCAATCGATATTACAATTTCCCACGTTTAAATTCCCTAACCACGCATTAATTAATTAGTCACGACTCTTACACTAAACTATTTAAATTTAAATAATCAAACATCATTTATTTAATTTATAATTTATTTACTTATCGATGATAGTAATTATCCAGGAAGACTGCTCAATCGACGCTTCCGTGTTGCTAAATATATATATAATATATTACACAGCTGATTTATATTTATATTTTGGGGGATAAATCACCTGTTCGATTTGTCCTTTTTTTTTTTTTAGTTTCTTTTACGGATTATGAGTAAAAACAATGGCAAAGACCAAAACAAGGCGTGGATATTAGATCGTGGAGTAACCTTCTAAAGAAAGTGGCCTTGCAGTAGCCTCAGTGGGCTAGGTACATTTATAATAGAATATAATCGAGTGTGTGGCCAGGAGAATAAGCCATTGGTCCGCAAAAGATCGGCAAAGTGAACGGGGAACTGGGTGATTTCCTCGTTGCTGGTTGATGGTGGTTGCTGGCTCCAGTTGGATCAGTACTAAATTATTACGTTCACCATATAATAGCCGGAGAGTGAAGTGTTGCACCTTAAGCGGTCGCTTCTGGCTCTTTTAAACGAGAGTAGAAGGGGCTTTGCCTTTATAACCGAACCTACTTGCTTTTAATTTTGTAGTTCAGCTAGATCTTTTGTGTCGTGTACTATTTTTCACTTTAAATCATGGTGGGTTTAATTAATATAATAATATGCATAAATTAATAATGCCCTTAGCCCTTAATCCTCAATCAATATTATATTGTCCTTGTCAGATAAACTTTGGTGTTACGATAAAAGGATTTTGTTTTTATTTCTGTCAGTGTGTTTGGATGCATGACTTATTCCGTCAACAATAAAATTGACGTCTCTCGTCTATAACAGACTTTTACTTTAAATTGGTGCTCAAACAACATTATCGGAAAAAATAATAGTCTATGTATGTATAAAGAGTGAATAGTTCCGGATGCATGTACATGACCTAGAATTAATATTATGATCGGCCAGTGAAAGTGGAATTATTTTTTCGTTAGCTTGTTTATGTTTATGCTGTTAGATAAAAAAAAAAAAAAAAAAAAAAAAAAAAAAAAAAAAATAAATTAATAGTATCCAATTTATTTAACAAGCTGGAAGATTGATTGAAAGATTTATATTTTTTATTTCAGCGGCTGTGGGGATACTACGCGGTGGTAGCGGGTTTATTATTAACAACAACCGCCGCGGAGAAAAAAGTTAATCTCGAGGATATTGAGAGGGATAATCTCCGCTCGGAGGGCAGCACCGGGAGTTCCAAGGGGACCTTACAGCAAAAAAGCTACCAAGTTAAGCCGGAAACAGATAGTGAGGATTATCGATCAAGTAGTCATCAGTACGAGGCTGCCAGGGGATTCGGGTCGTACTCTTCCAGAGATAAACCGGGACACCATTATCATGTAAGATACACATTATACATTATATATTTACAGAGATTAATTATTAATATTTTATATTTACTTACCCCTTCCAGGCTGATAGTTACATGCAAGCGAACCAGCCGAGCTTTGACTATCAGCACCACCCAGAGGATAATGACAATGCTCAGTACACAGATTATCAAGAGCAGGATCCAAAGCAGTATTATTTTACTCCGGAAATAAATGTCGGAAATCGGTATCAAACGATTCAGCAGAAAGTAGCTACTGAGAAAAATTCTAATGGATATAAAAGTACTTAAATTAATTATTTTTTCATCAATGTAAAGACAGTTGAGATTGTTATGTTAATTGACAATTATTATTAAAGGCACTGTTTACATTCCAATGAGCCAATTGTTGGCTTACTACGCGTATTTGTCGGGTCAAGGGTCGCAGAGTAAACCTCTAGGAGCTCTCGGAGGAGAAGGGAGCCACCAAATGTCCGTTCCTGTCTACACATCGGACCCCTATGGTCGCTCTCCTGTTTACATGTCCTCAAAGTTGTCATACAAACCTCAACCGCAGTATATTACATACGCGTCCCAATATCCATCGCACACACAAGCCGTCCTTGGGAAGGTAATTTCAATTATAATTACAATTATATAATTACAAATAGCGGGATAGAAATTTACATTACTTTTTAAATGAAGCAGAAGGGACAACCGAGTAAATTGTACTCGCACGTGAGCTCATCCTCCAGTGGCACGCAACCGCAGAATCAGAACAGCCAGTACTTAGGCCATCAGGAATTGATTTACCCGGAGCAGTACTCAACGGGGACGCACCAGGTGCAAGAGGACGCTAAATCGTACACTCAAACTGACTCTCAACCTCCGAGCAGTCATTTGGAACAGTATTACCGGTATATTACCCCGGAACAGTTGCAGTACTTGGTATCCTCTAAATCAATTTATCAACAGCCAGAGTACCACCAGGTATAATTTTAGATATTATCATAATGTATTTATTACACTTAACATTGACGTGTTGATGGTTAATTGCCGTCCAGTTATTTATTATTTATTATTTATTACAATGACGTGAATAGAGTCTTGAAACGCCAGAAGACGGTCTGATGCCTCCGCAATCCCCGGCGAAAAATTTTAAGTCATCGTACCCATCAGCAACCAGTGAAAGTACGCGATTACATTATTTACAAAACCACCTGAGTCATTCATCCTCATCAGAGCCAAAATCACTTCTTGATTCTTATGTTCCAAGTCACATTATTGCTGCGCAGGATGTTGAAAGGTAAAAAATAAATTAAAATAAATATATAGAGCTGATTGTTTTATTTTATTTTTTATTTCAGATATCGCGAAAGGCCAATTAAACTTGAAAGCGGCTTCCTTCCATCCAAGATAAACTTTATCCACTCGTACAAAAAACGAAAAACTCAATAAGATTATTTTGTTGTTATTATTATTATTATTATTATTATTATTATTATTATTATTAGACAAGTCCTTATCTAGTCTCGCAGAATTTGAAAATATATAATAATGCATTTATTTTTCACAGCAAAATAAATATAATAAATAATAGATTGATATATATATATATATATATGTAATAAAAAATTTCTAGATCCATAGATTTGATCATGTACGTGTTATATTATATGTTATATTGCGATTTCTAATTCGGACGTAATGCGTAGTATGTGTCTGAAATAGTATTTGCATAATCCACTTGTAATATCCAGTTTTATTACATTATCCAGTAATCGATTTATTTTAATAATTTAATTGACCACAATTAAATTCTAATAACATTGAAATTAACTAAATCATGAGCATAACGCTTAATGGTTCAAGACATGGATTATTATTACTCCAATAAAAAATCATTCTTATTTTTTATTGTTATACTTTGTATTAATCAAGCTAACTTAAGTAATTAATTAATATATATGTAACTCGATGAATATAAATAAATACTAATTGTAATTTTGATTTAAATAATAACCATTGTTTCTTTTTCATTTCACTTTCGACAATTATTATGGACGTTAATTAATTGAAAATATATATTCAAAGAATTTATTTATTGATAAGAAGTTATTATAAATTATAAATTGTAAATGAATAAATACAGTAGACTATAGTCAGCTGACAAATTGAGAGTTGGGATGAGAAAGCGGTTTAAGTGATGAGCCAATCATCAGGGCTTACTTGCCTTGAAATATTTCAATAAAAAACCAACAAATAAAAATCCCGACTTATCAAAATACACGTTTTATACATTCACTAATTAAATAAATAAATAATTTTAATTTTAAATAAATGGTTAAACGCCCTACTTAAAAATAAACGGTGATTATTTTAAAAAATGATTTATGCAGTTATTACTTGAATAGTTAATTCAGCGAGTGATTAATAATAAAATAAAATAATAACAAGTTATTGATGAATGAGTAAAAGTTGTTAAAGCCAGTTAAAACTTCACTGGTGAATATATGAAGCGAGAGAGACTGAGACGGTGATCGAAAATCGATCGGCACGTGGTTCGTAAGATGGTATTGGCAGATGTCTTCCTGGTTCTTTGAGTGTGTGTGTGTGTGTGTGTGTGTTGAACGTCTCACTAAAGTGAAACTGTATAATGGATGGGATGGGATGCCTGTATTGGAATCGTACCTACCTTGGAATCGTCAGTCGAGTATGTTCTGGTCCCAGCTCATGTGTGATGCTGGATAGGTGATGGGTGATGGGGAGCGAGGGCATATAAGGTGGGATGCTGTGGTCTCTACTCGATCAGTACCAAACGCACTCGACCCAATCGAGTTAACAGTTAATCGTGACACTCGACACTTTTTATCGTTTTTTTCTCTATCGAGATGCGACTCTCTTGGATCTACGTAAGTCTACTTACTTAATAAACAATAACATATTTATTTACACCATACAATTCAGTGTTATAATTTTTATCGTTTTTTTTTTTTTTATTTATTTCCAATATTTTTTATTCGATTTTTTAAAATTGTTTCCTGGAATCGAAAGATGTAATTACGGTGAAAGTGTTTCCGATTTTCCAAACACGCAAGATCATTCGGTTTAAAAAACTGGCAGATGCTCATCCTAAAAAAAACATCTAATGAATCTTTCTTTTGCGCAGTGAAAGTCTCTAAAGTCAATTGCTCTATTATTTTGTCAACCGAATGTCACACAGAAGAAAATAATATTTCATTCTTAGACGTATTAATTAAAATTCTTCGTTTTTATTATTTTACAATTGAGTTAAAAAAAAATAACAGCAGATTTTCCAATTAAACAAGGTCATCATAATGAAAGGTATTTAAAATTTAAACGGTTAATAAAAGTGAGACACTGAAAAAGAGGCAGTGAAAGTAACGATCTCGATACAGATTTATATCGGTGTCGTTCAATGACTCGGAGTAGAGATGAGAAAAAAACCCGGCAGCAGGCGAAGTGAATGTTGTTGCTGGTATCGCATTAACGGTCTATTGAGGTTACCTTGACTTTCGTGTAGTTTGCTTGACCTTACTCATTGATATATGACCGTGTCAACGAGTCCACTTGCTACCTGTACCAATAAATCAAATTGAAAACTTTTTATTAATTAAATATTCATTAAAACCATCAATACTATTGACTTGTTCCTTCTGCCTTCTGCAGTTCGAAAGTTTTTAAACGTATCCGGGTCATCAAGTTTTGCTAATTACTTTTTATTTTCCCAGATATTTATTTTGGTGACGCTGGGGAGTTGCGAGCCCGAGCCTGAAGCGGACCCACCAGAACAATTCACCGACGATCCAGCTAATTCAACAGACACCGAAGAGCCAGAGTTGAAGCTTGACAACCTATCAGGGCCGCTGTTTCTCGTTGAATTTGTAAACGAAAACTCAACAGACGAAAAGTCGAAGCGAACGATAGACAACAATCTCGGATATGGCTACCTGAAAAACAACCTGTTCAGCGGGAAGTACAATTACTACTTTCCAAATGGAAAGACAGGAACCACAGTGACCATCGAGGAGTCGTTAACTCCCTTCGAGCCAAAGACAATTATTGACACGGAGAAACCCCCCACGAAGCTAGAAGGCGACTGGACCGCCAGTTATCCTTCTAATCAGCAGGTCTTTGGCCAAAGAACCAAGCTCAGAAAGTACAACCCCTCAGACTACATCCACCAGAATCAATATTCTACCACCGCAAAGCCCAACATTGCTTACACGACAATCCGTCCGGAATACAACCAAAATGCGTACACCACAGCCAAAACAATTTATCAAAACTCTTTCTCGGCTTACTCGAGCACCCCCAGCCCGAATTACAATTCAGAGTACGTCGCAGGACTCCACCCTCCGGGAGCTCTCGAGGCGACCACTCTGATGCCTCCGTTGTCAGACGACCCCGCGCAATTCAATATTCCAAGGTTCACTGTCGAGAATGGGATCAGGTACGAGAACAAAATAGTCTGGAAGTATCCTGACGGGAGGATCGCCGAGCCGCCTTCGTCCTTCATAAATCACTACTCAGAGTACTCCGAGCCCCAGAGGAACAAAGTCAATCACCAGAACGCATTCCGTGAGACTACAGGATTTAGAAACCCAAATGGGCATCAACCGAGCCACATTTACAAGAATAATAATCTCAATAATAATAATAACAACAACAACAACAACAACAACAACAATAACAATATTTACTCACAACGTCCGGCGACGTTTCCAACTGACCAAGAGTCGTTTTCGCAACGTCCAGGTAGTTCTTCTCAATCACAAGCTTTCAACCTCTCTTATCAGAATAATTACGGCTACAGACGTGGTAATAATAACAATAATAATAATAATAATAATAATAATAATAATAAAGACAGGTTTGAACAGAGACCGTACTCAAAGTACGCAATAGACAGCTCCAATCCAGAATACACACCAGCACCAAACACTTTGCTTCGAACCACCGAGTCTCCACAAATACTCACCCAAGGAGGACAACTCTCACCGCAAGTCCTCAACAAATACAAGCCCCAGGTCCAGCAGTACTTGTCTAAATTGTTCACAAGCTCCAAGGAGTCCAACAAGCCCTACGACTCCAACAGCTTCATTGAAAACAACTACGAGCAGCTGCTAAATTACAATCCTTCAATTTCTCAATACGTTAAAGATCCCTCGTCAATTCTACAAGCCTACCCGACCTTTATTCAATCAGGAAAGTCTCTTGTGCCGGTGATTATCCTCAGAGTTGATGGAGTTCGTCCAGTGGAGCAACAAACGCCAAACATTAACCTAAAGTCGCTGCTTCAGCAGTATTTGTCTCAGTACGCCACCGAAGGAAGAAATCCAGAGAACCACAAGTCCAATCAGGAGTTCCGACCCAGTCCTGTTGATGATCTGACATACTTGACGGAAGCGCTCAAGCGGTTTTCACCCAACTCTCAAGAGCCCACTCGGCTCGCCAATCATCCGCTTGAGTATGAATCCACCCGATACACTCACGAGTCCAGTTACGACACTATTAATTCTGAAGTAAAGCCACCTGATTCCCAGAGGTATAATAAATTCTCTAAAAAAAATGGACAAAAAGTTAAAAGCGTTCAGATAATTGATGGTCCTCATTATACTAATTAAAATTATTAATTGAGTTCCAATCACTTAGCATTGTATTTACGAGTATCTGTTTACGAAATTTTATTAAGATCTAGCTAGAGTTTTCAGGTCATCTGTTTTTTTTTTTTTTTTTGTTGATTGATTGGTCACTAAGTAGATAAATAAGTGCCATTAAGTGACGTTTAGCTGGCTATCTATAATTATAATCAATAATAATTATGCTCATTCCTTTAAATATATTATAGATTTTATAATTAGTATTAAGACGGGTATGTGCAATAAATGAATATATTAATAAAAGATGGATTTGTTTGACCAAATCTTGACACTTCATAAAGGTACCTTTCATTGTAAAAAATAAATTTTATGTATGGTTTTTTTTTTTTTTTTTCTTTTTTTTTATTTCAAATAAATACTGTTGTTTTCTATGTAAATGATTTGTTTTATTTTATCAAAAATATTTATTACTTTGAGGGAAAACCGCAGGTATTAAATAACCAATAAATCATAGGTTGTATTTGTTAGCGATGATGATTATGATGATATCTTTGGGCTCGCGTCGATTAGCAGTAATTAGTAGCTGGTAAATAAAGTAAGTAAAATAAAAGTTTTTAACTTTTTAAGTATATACAGCAGAGATGAGATCGAGAGACGGATAATTTTTTTAGTTTTCACAAGCCTGGATGATATCGCAAAATCTAACAACGGTGCAGGCGCAATTAACAACAAACCGTTTAAACATTATAGGTATAAGTGCCTTGGTACTCGGTCTTTTTATAATTCTGCAATACAAAATACACTCATCAAGCCTGTCTGAATAGTCACAGACTCTTGAGAGAATGAATAGTTTACGAGCATCGTCATGTTAATGCGTGTGTTTTAGAGCGAACAAATCCTGTGTCTAGCATTGCGAAAGTAATGACCGTCAATTACGTATTCGTTATTTGTTTCTCTGTAGCTAATTTTGTTGAAGGGATTAATTTCATTTTTATACTCTTAAGAAGATCAATTTGTGGCATCCGATCTAGAATACCTTATATAGATCTAGAGTAATATGATTTGGAGAGCAGCCAATTGATTGATTGATTGATTGATATCAAAACTAGCGGGTATAACTAGCGGGAGAGCATATCCGGTAGTTGACTGGTATTTACTATCAGGATTATTTATTAGTCGTTTTTTTGTGAGGATGTACAATAATTTGCCAATTAAGTGAAATCTATTGGGCAATATCAGTCGTTAGCTGTTTTCTATCGGGCGTGATGCCGAGGTTCTGCTAGATGATTTTAATAATACCCAGGAATATAATCCTGATAGATACACATCCTATTTTAAGAATTTTTTTTTTTTTTTTTATATTTCTATGCGTTTTACGGACAAGACTTTTCCAGCTGCGGTCGCGTGTCGTGAATGAAAGTATCTTCGGGGAGGGTTTACGTACATTAATATTTAGAACGATATTTTTCACTTGGTTGCCGGAGTGTATAAAGAAAATCGCGCATTTGCTATGTGGCTCAGTTCTCTCGTGGAAGTGAATCTCGTATCATCACTGGATAAATCATTTTATTTTTATTTTATTTGTTATTTACTCTGACAAAACAAACTTGTTCAGCCCTAAGGGAATGTGTTATTCATATTCGTGATACGTTTATTTTGTTTTGGTTTGTTTTAAGAGTTTCGTACAGCCGCCGGCCAGTGGTTAACGTGCCAAAGATGTTGTCTTACTACGTAAGTTTCTCAATTTTTTATTAATTTACTATCGTTATATTTATTTATCTATCTAAAGGTCCCTTATTTTATTCAAAAGCTCTGAAGAAAAATTAATAACAAATTTTTTTTAAATTATATTTTTGGTAGAAGAATTTTTCTCTTAAATCAAATAAATTTTTTCAAGTGAAGCTTTAAAATTATTAATCGAAAAAACTTGATAAGGAACAGGATACAGTTTTATTACTCGGGAAAGAAACTCGCTGGCTTTCAAAGAATAAATAGTACAAACAGAGATGCCAATATCTTCCGTCATAAAAATAATAAATAAAAGATTTATTGAAATTTGGTATACATAATGATAATTTGAAATCGGTGAGAAAATCCATAGGTTTTGGTTCCCTGCACATTCAGTTCTTAGTAGGCTGACGTCCAGCATGTTCCACTTGTTACCTTTTTACTTTTCCAATTTGCTTTTCTTTTCTAGGACATCCCCTTGACTCGATAATTGACAACCTCATTAATTTACCTAACAACTATTATTAAACCTAATATCGCAACCTTTAATTTTTTCAGGTAATCCTGTTATTGCTGTACTGGCCGAGTGCGAGGAGTGACAATTCCACCTTTGCGGATCAGGTAGCAGTAGCCTCTGAAAGTTTAGATATCAAGGTACCAAAAAACGAAAGCCATGAAATTGCTGGCTCGTTATCATCCTCCGAGCGTGACGACATTGTCATCAACTTCGAGAATTCCAACGGATTTGTTCCAATGACAAGCTCTACTGAGCCTTCCGAGGAAAAATATTCTTCTACCGAGCCCACGACCAAAGAGCCATTCAGAATAAACGTCGCCAACTACTCGGAGTCCGATTTCTCAACTGAGGCCCGCATTTTGATAAATCTCCAGGGCTCCACCGTAAACAGACGATCCTATGATGTGGAAAATGACGAAAAAGAGTTTGAAATTTTAAAAGTAAACTCTAATACACCAGCTGTCGCTAATTACAATGAATTCTACGAGACATTTCAAAAAAATAAAGATTCAAAAGCTGCTAAAACTCCCACCAAAAACTTTTCTTACTTTCGTCAGAAGGAACGTATGAAGCAAATTAAAGACTATATATTTTATCAAGACGGTAATTCTCAACAACATCACTCGCTAATTCACCATGACAGCCAGGATGCACCAAAAAAAACTTATGAGCTGGAGAAAGTTCACAATTATCCAAGTGCTGCATCTGATTACGATATTTTCAGCGAAAGTGTTACGAGACAGAGATCATCGAATTTGCCGCCATCGGGTTACGAGCTGGAAAATACTCACAGCAGTTGGAAACCCGCTTCGCCAAAGTATCAGAGCAACCGCAACACTAAATCCCCTCCTATTGTCGTAGATTCTAATGAATACAGTTACACCCAGCAGTATACTACCAAAACACCTCAATCGAGTTCGACAGAGCCGTCATTTAAGTACCAAACAGACATGTCAGAGGATCGTTACGACCGAAATGAAGACTACTCAGAAGAGAACACGGATGAGTATTACGAAATAACTGAGCGTCCTCGGAGGCTTCACAAGAGCCGACGAAAGCCTTACGAATCCTCCCGTAAACTCCCGAAGGAGCACCGCGGTGGTGATTCGAGTGAATCGAAGAAACAAACCTCAACGCGTACAAAGTTACATCGCGGTAAACCAAAGCAGAATTATTGGAGCGAGGAACAGCCGAGCCAAGAAAGTTCCGAGGAGAATACCAAGGAGGAGAGAACTAAAGACGATAATGCAAGCTGGAGTCAGGTTGGTCCTAATGTTGAGTTCTCTCAGTCGAACGGATACGAAGTCGGTCAAATTGACAAGCCCAATGTTTTGGTGCCGGTTAATTTGAACCTCGTTCCACTCAGCAATTTTGATCACGCAACTGCTCTGGGCAACAGCCAAGGCTTCGACATGACCAATGTTGGGATGCCTGGATACGTTTCTTCTGGGTCAATCGTCAGTACTGCAGCTCCCTTGCTCAGCAGTGTCCAGCCAGTGGCAATTCAAAACTTCCCTCAAGGCGTCAAACATCAGAACATCGGTTACTCTACAGCCGTTCCAGACATTGTTGTTGGCCAAAACTCTTTCCACAACCCCGTACAAACTGTTCTTGTCCAGCAACCAGTCCATAACAAGTACACACCTAATATAAAAAATTACTATCCCAGTACTGCAACACCTATGTTCACAATGACACCCACGCTTCAAGGTTTTTCGACGATCCAAAGTACAGTCGCTTCAAAATCTGTGACGCCGAATATGCAATTGTTCTATCCACACTCAACAGTTTCAACTGCTCAGCCTCTGTACCAAGCTCCTCCTCATAATAATTACAATATTGTCGTCAATCCTAATGGTCTGAACGGGCAAAATGTCCAGCATACTACGCCCAATTATAATTACGGAGCTCAGTCAGATTCTCAGAAGAAAAATAATCAGTTTTTAGCTTCAGCGAGTTATTCTGTCGGAAACAACGGCCAGCAAACTCAAAACAGTCAACAGAATCAAGCCCAATCGAATAATCCAAACAATAATCGGTATGCCAGTTCTCAGATTAATCCTCAAGTCGTCAAACCTCAAATGCTTCACGGTTACATCCAAACTGGCGCAGGAATTCCGGTTAATTTTAATCAGCAGCAATTTGCCAATGTAGGAAACAATATTTTGGAAAACACCTGGAAACAATTACAGCAACTGCAAGGTAATGGACAGCAAAATCTTTATCATCGGATCCACTATCACACAGGTTACGGTAAAGATAACGCTGTCAGTCCCAGTAACACAAATGTCAATACTGTCAATGCAATTCAAGTACCACTTGTAAAAGCTCAATTACCCGTAGTAGGGACTCAGCATGTCCAAATAGTAAATCCGAATTTTCAAGCCATGAACCCGATTCAGGTAAATCCGTTCTCTGGCGCAGTGGTAACCACGCAGATTCCTATTTACAGTACACCAGCGGGTTTTGTGACTCCAACAGCCGGACCCATCGCCATTCAAAATTACGTCGATTCACTTACACAAATTGGAGCACAACAGACTGTGCAACAAGAAAACGGAGCCAAGTACAACCCAATGAACTTTATTCCCAACATGGAGGTCGTTAAAAGCCAGACGATGCTCAATGGAAAAAACGCGGAATCCCTTCCTCCAAATTTGAGCCTGGTCCCGATGATTCCCGGAGGGAAATTTTCTAAACACTCCCACGAAGCTCAAGCAGAGTTGATCACCAAGCCAAAATTGAGCTCTGATTTGGAGAAATACGCCGATGAAATGTTCAAAGAGTCTCTTCGCACAATTTACAATACTCACCAGTGGAATAGCGACAAGAGAATCAGAAATTTGACTACTATTGACAGCAACGACCTGGAGAGACTCAGGCAGGAGCTGGAGCGATACAGGGCTGTCAAACCAGGAAAGGACATTCTTGAAGCGCATCATTCAGAGTCCCACTATCACACAGCAGACCCAGGACGTGAGAGGAGACCTGGGTTGACTATCGCCGATATTGAAGAGCTTTTCAAGACAAACTTTAAGCCCCAATCCTTCTCCGGGGACTCTCTGTCTTCTGCGAGCAAGCCCAACTTGAACAATGTGAAACTCAGTGACTATCTTACGCCTCCAAAGGTGAATTCGTTTGTTTCAAAGAGTCCTTTCGTAGACAGCAAGCCGGCAAAGAAGCGACCTTCCAAGAGGCCTCACTCTCGACCCTCGTCACGACCAGGAAATCTAGACACCTCGGCGAGCAATCACGTCTCACACTCATACCGACGACCACACTACGGGCGCGGTTCTTATCATGGTGATTATCGCGGAGCGGGAACTTATTTAGACAATTATCCTTCTCTTACGACTTCATCGCCTGATTTGGATTTTTTACAGTTCAGAAACGATAACTACATGGACTACAACCACCCTCGCATGCACAACCTTATGGGGCTGCTGATGAAGAGCAAACAGCTGCCCAGTGGGACGACCTCTAGCTCGATAGACGATGATAGTTATCCACAGTTTATAAATTATGATCGACGTAGAATGTACAATGAGGCAATGAAGCACAATAATCAAATAACCTCAGCCGCTTTTCGCCTCCTTCCAAGACTTAATTACCATTACCAATGATATCATCCATTGATTAATCCCTCTAATACAATCTGGTGTCTAATTTTTCTTTTTTTTTTTTTTTCAATCTAACTCATTAGAGAATCAATTAAAAAATAGATAAATTAATTTCCAAAGATAAAATTGGTTCGTCTAATGTACAATTAAAAGGAATGCTTCTGCCAAAGCGGAAAAATACGTAAATCATTGATTTAAAATAATTAAGTTTATTTATAATAACGATCATAAGGTAATGTTTATTATTAATAAGTTAAAAGAATTTATTAACAATATTAATATTAAAACTAATGTATAGTATATAATGATTTATACTGTAAATAAATATATATACTGATATTAATAACGTTGTAGAAGATTTATTTAATGGGTAGAAAGAAAAAAATATTTTTATTGATTTTCTAGAAATAATTTTTTGCCAATTACCATGCTAACAAATGGACGACAGTAAACTCTGTAACGGTTCACTGGAAACGGAAATCTTTTCTGTTTAACAATTGATATTAAATTCCTCTCTCACTTTTTATCTTTCCTACTTCTTTATTCTTTTTCCTTCTTCACTGGTGTTTTTGTTAAATTTAGAAAAGTGAGGTGCTCCGTTGGACGTTTCGCATCACTAAGTCTACGAATATAAAAGATCAAGAAATAGATCAACCGATGCTAGTGAGATCCGATCTCTAGTCCTGAGAACAATGGCCATCAGGGTACGTCCTGTCAAATTATATATTTATTATTTACATTAACATTTTAATTCATTTATATTGTGTTCTTTATTTGGTCAATAAAAGTGGTGCTTACAGATTGTTTGGTGTTTACTGCTTATTGGAGTTGTCAAGGCTAATTCAATCTCGACAACCCCTCAAACGACATCTTCCACGGATTCATCTGTAAAAATTAAACCCAAAGTGCGACGTTCTAATTTTTACTTGTCATCAAATGGTGCGACAATTCCCTCTTATAAATTATTCGACACAAATATGAACATACACGCGATTAGAACCGCGCCTACGATAACCTCTTTTAGTCACAGTTTTCCAAAAAGTGAGTTCACTAAATCCCCGTTAATAAATTCGTTTACACCCTACGAAATTAATTCCTTGAAACTAATTCCGGAAAATTCTAAAATATCCGCGAAAGCTTACTACAAAAATCCTAGTTTTTACACAAGTTCGAGTTTCCCGAAATTGGGCCAACGTCCCTCAGCGAGTTCTGCTGGTCAATATGGAAAAAACTACCCCGAGATAAAATCTATATCAATATCACCCTCGTTCTCAGCTTCAGAGGTTACTTCCGGAGGTTTTAAGCCCATCAGTCCTCCCCAGTACCAAAGTAACCCTCAGCCTGAACTTTCTGAAGTTCTGAGGGGTTACGAGGACTCTTATCAATCTTACGGTAATCCCACAACGTCTTCCCTAGCATCTTCCCTCGAAAACTTCCCAACGTACTCCGTTCAGCCGATTCACCCGACAATTAGAACTAATTTACCTTTCGCGCCGACAACCGCTGTCTCAAAAATAAGGAGCAGCGATAATTATCAGCTGCTTTCTGCTCAACCCCAATTACATTTCACCGCGGCGATTCCTCTTACCCAACAGCCTATTTACCATTCGCAGCCCTTTGGAAGAATAAGGACCGATGTTGAAGTGATCACCAAGAGACCACAAATTCCATTTCCCGAAGATAGTTCCGAAGAAGGTCAGTTGTTCATTTGTTCTCTCTTCTAACTTGAATTATTTACTCGGAAAATAATTTGGGAATGATTTATTTCAGTAGATTTTAAGTCCGTGGGAATTCCCGTCTCTGAAGAATCTTACGAACCGCTTCAAACAGTCAAGAATGTTAAAAATGATAACCGATACCAGTTACCTGACTCTTCTATTTTTAAGTCATACGACGAAGCCTTTGGAAAATTATACCACCCGTCAAAAGTTCCTGTTGTGCATGGTACTCCGCGACCTCACACGCCAAAGTTGATAGAAAAACCACCCCAGTACGGAGTCTCGAGCAGCGCTGAAGCTGAAAAGCAAGTTTACGAGCACTCTGACGAATATTCTTCGGTTTCGAACGAAAATTATCACCCGGGAGGCAATTCCAATCAGGGAAGCAACCAAAAGTACAGCCAAGAGGGGAGTGATTTCGAAATACCTCACTTTGAGAATTTTGGCCGTGACTATAAACAAGATTTCGAGGAATCTTATCACCAGGAACTTCCCCGTGAGGGTATTTATCTTTTTTTTTTTTTTAAATCAATTCAACTGAAATTTACTGAATAATCGATTGTTTTTTCAGAGTACAAACAAGTCAGAGAAGTTTCAAAGGTTGACGAAACAAATTCGCGACCGAAGATCAGTTCCAGCGGTCGAGAAACGATCAGATCGCGTCGCCCGAATAAACCACGTAAGAGTTACGCCGTCGATGAGTCTGCGGGTGTTGAAACGACTTACGAAAGGATTGTTGCGAAAAATCCCCAAGAGTCTTCGGAAAGGCAAGTTCCCGTGGAGAACTTTGGTTACAAAATTCCGAAAAGTTCGCGGACGACTGGCTTCAATAATGAACAAACCACTGAACCGTCAAAGCCGACTTACTCCGCGAAAAAATCCAGGAATCAGAGCTCCAGGAACTCTGAATTGAGGAAGCAAACCTCCCATCAATTTAACTCTCCGTACTCGAGCAGCCAGCCAAAATCGCTTGATCAATCTCCGACTGTTGAAAACGTCTTAGTGCTGCCATTTATCTACAAAGATAATCTCAACAGCAATTATCATCTGCTGAACGATCCAGTTGGTTAATTTCTCTTAGTTGCTAGTTACAAACACCAAATAAATAAAACAAATAAATATTGTATTTAACTCTAGACTTAATATTTCATTTTTTGTTGTAAGAAATAACTTTTATATATTATAATAAATAATACTATTGCTCGTTCCACCAGGCAATCTCCGTTCTTAATTATTACACTTTTCTCCTCCCTCTCCGGCTTCACGCATGCGTGAAAATAATTTCTATTTATCGACTTACGGTCATTCGTCAGTTTATTTGAAAAAAAATATGAACCTCAATCCAGCCTCAGCTTCAGAGGGTCCAGTTTTTCGAAGGGTAGGCTAAATCATAAAGCTGCCTACTAATTATATCGGAGTTTACTTTATATTTATAAGCTTCTAACCAGGATAAATAACTTTTATCTCATAAAAATTTATTTAAGTTAATATATATCAAAGGAGATAAATGTGTATTATGACTTATAACTTTAGTATACTATAGAAAAAAAAAAAAAAAAAAATGATTATTTTGTTGGGCAATGAAATATCAGGAGAGTCTTCCGGGTGAGATTCCAATTCTGATAAAACTAGTTATAGTTATATTAGATGACTAGTGATCAATAAGTTCCAATCACTGTCAGTACAGGGAGCGGACATATATCCCAGATTAAAGATTGGCTATTACAGCCACCACCTCGTCCTCACTATCATTATAAATGGCAGTCTTCAATTATCCAACAATGTACTACCAATTCTGTTGGCTAAAAATAATTATTAACTATTTTATAATTAATTTCGTGATTATCCGAACCAGGACTCTTTATTCCCCGGGTATATATACTCCGGTTGACATACTCCGGACATCAGTATCCATCACTGGACGATCTAGCAAGATGAAGGCTGCTTTATTGGTAATTTTTCAATGATTATTTTTATTTTTCTACAATAACTCTTTTAAAACTATTTTTTGATCCCAGTGCAAGATTTTGGTGGCCATCGTGGTTGTAGCAAGTGAGGAATTAAATTCCGAGTCAACGAAAAAAGAAAAGCGTGGAGTAGCTTTTCTAGGGTCCCCAGGTTTCGATATTGTTGGAGTTCTTCCAGCTTTTAACCAACCCTGGCTCCCAGCTGGCTTGGGTAACTCTTATTGGCCTGGACAATTTTCATCGGACCTTGCTTTGAGCCAAATTCAATCTCAAGCCACTCACAATGTCGCTCTCCAAGTAATTTTTAATTAATCATCTCAATTATTTGTAGTTTTATTTACTTACTGGCAAATATTTTAATTCTAGGCTTTAAAAGACAACTACCCGGGCACACCAAGCATCACCTACTCCCCGGAAGTAGTTAGAGCGATCCACTCAGCTAAAGAAGCCAATCACAACGTCCTGGTAGCTCAACATCGCGTTGCCGAAGCGAAGCAAGCTGCCCTCATCCAGCAAAAAATCGCTCTAACCAAAGAAGCCGCCGCGAGAGAAGCAGCTGAGAGGTAATTTTTATTAATTAAAAGTTTATCTTGAATTTTTGAGTAAATTTGCTCGCTTACAGGTCAGAGGCGATAGCAGCGCAAGCTCAGTATGCAGCCCGGGCGAGTGCTCAGCAACTGGTGGGTCTCCAGCAAAGACTTGCCTCTTTGAAAGACTCAGTAGCTGCTGCTCAAAGGGTCGCCGCTGCTCGGGAAACTGCAGCCGCTGCAGCCATTCAACGCAATGCCGCTGATACTGCTGCTGAACTTCGCAAACAGGAGGTTGATAAACAAATCACCCAGACTGAGAAAGAAGCCAAGGTCTTTTATTTTTTTTTTTATATCTAAAAATAATTATCGAATGAATTAATTGAAAAAAAAATGTTTTCAGGTGCGTGATATCGTCGCTGCTAAAGAAAACGCGATCGCCAACGCAGTCCAGCATTCCGCTGCTTCAAAGACAACTTACCCACCCTGGGGACGATAAGAACTTGCTTATAATTACACTCATATCAATTATAAACTCACGTTAATGATAAGATAATTATAAAATTACTTACAAGGTGGTGGTTTTTGTATTTGTTTTTTATTCGGGCATTCATTAACTATTTTGTTTTGTAAAACTTGTTTTTTATGAATAGAAAATGTCTCTATTGAACAGTGAATAATTATAATTATGATAATAATAATAATAAACACCTATAAATCCTTATCTTTTTTATTCAGTCTTTTATTACACTCTCAATCCTTCTTAAGTTAACTATAAACGAGGATAGTAAATGACTGTATCTTTGTAGTCTCTTCTCATTCCGTAAATGTGTAGCTAAGTATTATAAGCACTCTCACTATCGTTCTTGTTTTCTTCCCCACAGCGTATCGTCACACTCATTTCATTTATCTAAAAGTTTATACTCTGGTAAAATTGTAATTAAATTAAAGTGACTTAAGTTTATTTTCTTTTTTAGTAACTATCGCTTTCAGACAACTATCCAAATATAAATATAAATGGTCAATAAATTCCAGGTGGGAAAAAACGGATGAGTCTGATAAAATTATAATAGTTTTATATATTAAAATGGGAAATGTATAATTAAATATATATTTAACTTTTCCTCAAACTTTTGAAAGTGTAATGAATAGTTATGATCGTATTTTAATATTAGAGAATTTGCAAGTAAAAATAGACATACTGGACTGGATCTCGATGACAAACTCGGTGGGAGAAAGCTTCGATATTTGATATAAAAACATGTCCTCGATACACTTGGTCACTAGTATGTAGTTTGACTCTACATCAATATCTCTATTAGTTTATTAATTTATTTATTTAACAATAATGTTATTAATAGTAAGTTTTAATAAACGATAAAAACAAATTACAAACTTTGTTTCTGTTTAATTAATTTGTTTTTGACAGGTTTTGTTCTTTACCAATGTGCTTGCTTACGAATTTAATTCACCCTGGCAACCGTGAGTTGTTTATTATAATTATTATTATTATTTTATCAAATTATACTCGTGAAATTTAATCAATTAATTTTCATAGTTACGGTAATAATATAAAAAGCATCGATTCAAATAACCTGGAAGCGGATGGACAAAATTACAATTTTAATTACCAAAATAATTTTCCGGAGGATAATAATCAGTTGAGACCGGGTAATAATCCCGGTGATTATAATCAGAATCAAAATCATCAGTCGGTGGTTAACGAACATGTCGAAGTAACGAACCCACTTATCATTCCTGTTTTCAAACATATCGGTAAATATATATCTCTAATATTGTTATTCATTTTAAATTAATTATTGAAGCATCTAATTGCAGGAGTGCCGTATCAACACCGCTTTGAGATTCAGGTACCACACGCGATGCCTGTCGGTGTTCCGCAGCCGTACCCGGTGCATGTTCCAGTTCCCCAGGCAATCGCTTATCCCGTGATAAAAACTATCATTGTTCCGGTTGAAAAAAAGGTTCCGTTTGAAGTGGAACGGATCGTTCCGGTCCCTGTGGAGAAGCCGGTACCGATCGCGATCGAAAAGCCAATTCCTGTTCCGGTAGAGCAGCCCTACCCGATCCACATTCCCATCTACAAGAATGTTTATCATCGAAAAGTCAAAGGTCGCAGCAGCCGCTCCCGAAATCGAACTTACAAGGGATAAAATTTATATTATAATTAGTCTGTATTTATGTTATTGATTGCTGTTATTTATGATTGTTATTTTATGATTTATGAGCAGTAAAATAATTTTATGGCAATTAAAATTTAAATTAAAACTAACAAATCAACTTTTGAATGTAAAATATCAACATTACAATTATTTATTGTGATTAAAATATATAAATTATTATAATTGTCTGTAATATATTTTCTTAATTAAAGAGAAATAATTAATTATATTTATTATATGAATTAGATCACGTTCAGCTCTCTTCACATCGGTAAATTTTATTCACCCATCAATTTGGTTTAATCATAATACCGAGAGCGAGCATAAACGTCACTCTATTATTCAGTCACGCTGTTAATACAATAGCAATAAACAAACTCATTAGAATTATAATAATAATAATATTCAAGGTCATTATATATCCGCGCGGACTCAGTCAAGTAACGGTCAGTGTTAATGACCAGCGGCAATTTTCACGGTGAAGGCTGATATATAGGAACAGCATACAAGTGATTGTTCACGTCTTGACGATAAACTCACCGGCATTCTATTGTCCTTTCTCTCGCTTTATAAACTCTATACACCACTATCACTGTGTACTTGCCGAGAGTAACTGTCTCGGTAATCACCTCCGTCTCCTTCTACATCCTTATTAATCGAAATGGTAATAGTTTGTACTTGGGGATTTTACCTCTCTGTTTAGTTATATTAGACGAAAATGGAAAATTATATTAGATCTCTTAAGAGCTAACTAGACGGTAATGCTGCTGTTAAGTATCTGAGCAACCAGCGGAAAAACAATTGCCTCTGGAACTAACGTTACAAATAATGACAATAATAATAATAATAATAATAATAATAATAATAATAAATTAAATCAAATAGTGGTGCTGCGAACGATAAAATTGTTAAAAACATCAGTGAAAGGCATTGTAGTATATTAAGACGCGAATTTACAGAAGATCTATCAGTTTTAGAACAACATTTCTTAGACAACCTTGTTAATAAAACATGCACGCCTTTCCTTACATTTTCGTAAGTTTTAATGCAATACAATTTACTCAATTATTGTAAATTATTAATTTATTAATAATTTTAAAGATTTTGGGGCTGACAACTTGGACGTCAGCCTCTCCAATGAAAATTTTATTCACCGATTTGTACGGACGTCAATTTGTGATGCCACTGATATCGATGCATCAGCAACTAAAGAGGTCTGACGAGGCACCCGCTGAACATGACACGGAATTTGGACGAAGGACCGAGGGAGGCTTCCAACCCTCTGTTGGAAACTACGGGGACCAAAACCACGACTATTCCTCAAACTTCCACAGTTTTGACCAACATGAGGGCTTGAATGATGAACCGAGTCACGAAGAGTTTAATTTCGATCATCAGGACAACGGGTATCAAGAAGAACATCAAGTGTCAGAACATGTCGAAGTGTCGAAACCCGTCTCTGTACCAATTTACAAACACATTGGTAAGTTTATTGACTATTGATCATTGACAAGTGATGTATTTATTTTTGTTTTTATTTTTTTAAGGAGTACCGGTGCCTCATGAAGTGAAGATTCATATCCCGCATCCAGTTATTGTAAATGTTCCCCAGCCGTATCCAGTAGCCGTACCAGTGGGACATCCAGTGCCGATTCAAGTTATAAAAACTGTCGCGAACCCTGTGGAAAAAAAGGTTCCTTTTGCAGTGGAAAAACACATTCCAGTACCGATTGAAAAACCCGTGCCAATAACCGTCGAGAGACACATTCCGGTGCCTGTTGAAAAACCCTACCCCATTAAAATTCCCGTCTACAAAACTATCCACCACGTCGCCAAGTCTCATCATGGATAATTATTTATTAATATTTAATTGTTGTATAAATTATAATGTTGTTTTAACTTTTATGAAGAAATAAATAATAATAAAAACAAATTGCTTTAATTTTCGTATGTTTTTTTTATAATTGTTGTCGTGAAAGTTTTTTTTAATTAATCTCACTTGCGGTGAGTGATATGTTATTTAGGAATTATGATTAATATACAAAATTATATATTTATAAATGAGATTCTTTTATTGAGTGAGCACACGTATTTTACTGAACTAAGAGTGAATATTTTTCAATTTAAATAATGAGCTTTAGACTGTTTATTAAAACGGTTGCTAAATAAAGGAACAATTTGCTAAAAAAAAAAAAAAAAAACAAACAAAATTACACTTTCTCATCATTAATCATTTTTAATCAGAATGTCGGATCTTTTTTTGTTTTTTGGTTAAAAATATGAAGGAAAATTGGATCAGTTTTGGGCTAAAAACCGGAGAAACTAAAAAATGATGAGAGTGTAAGCGATTAGTCATTGTTGGGTGTCAAAGAAAACGCGGAAAGATAGAAAAAAAAAAAAAAAAAATTAATGGCGAAAGTTAATATTACCACAGTCACACTAGTGATACTATTAGTGGCTCTAGATGTTATTTTAAGACAATCTCCTTTCTTTACTCGCTCGAGATTGGGATTGGGGAGACAGTATCCCCCGAGAGAAAGAAAGGATTCGCGGGGTATTGTCTTATAAAAATACATATTATCTAAAATCAACTCCCAAAGCCTTTCTAATTCCGATAAATTATTTCCGAAAAGATAGTGATGATAAATTTAAAATAATATAATATTCACTATCGGATCTAAAGATTTAAATTACTTCGTTTATCTCGAACGGTGATTTAAAAGGTACAAAACAATTTTACTTAATATCCTGTCGGCTCAAAGAGAGTTACTTCCGGTGTTTGGTTACTTTGGCGATTTAACAATTACGGAATCACAAAAAACTCCATTATTAACTTTTAACTACGATCGACTTATCTATAGATGAATTTTTTGCAAGTGTAGGCGTCCTTTCATGTACAATTACATTTACATTTACGATTAACGTAGTGTCTTGGATGGTATTTCAAGGGGGTGAAAGTGGTGTAAGTATATTTCCAGTGAAAGGTGACCAACAGAATCATCGGACGTATATAAAGCTTGTACTTCATATTGGGCTAGTCACTGTCTTGTGGTACTCCAAACATTCATTATGTTTTCTATTGTAAGAATTTTAATAATCATCATCTTTATTTTTTTTTTTTTTTTTTTTATACACTGATAAAAAAATAAACTTTAAAATTTATTCTTTAAAGTTTATCAATAGAATAACACAGTACTATTATTTTAGGTTTGGATGAGCGTTGCTTTGATTGCCGTCGCTTCGGCGAGCGACTATCATGATCACGAACCTCACAGGACCTACGAGGAAAAAGTTAACCCCGTGGAAGTTCCAGTTTACAAAAAATACGGTAATTTTTTTTTTTTTTCTACTTTCAAATTTTATAATATTTTATTGAATATCAATGTTTAAATTGAATCTTTCTGTTTCAGCGATACCTATACCACATCCAGTAGCGGTTAAAGTGCCCCAAGAAATAAAAATACCCATGCCACAACCATATCATGTACCTGTGCAGATCCCACAGCCTTATCCCGTTGAAGTTATCAAGCATGTGGATGTTCCTGTTGAAAAACCCGAACCTTTCGTTGTTGAAAAAAAGGTATTTATTTTTTTTTTTTAAAAAAACAATTATTAAACGATTTAATAAATTAATAATTGAAATTTTGCAGGTACCTTTCATTGTCGAGAAGCCATACGCTGTGTACGTGGATAAAAAATATCCAATCACCGTTAATAAGCCGTATCCAGTGTACGTTCCTATCTACAAGCACGTTTTCCACCACAAGCATTAAATTAACCATCATTATTAATTACATGTTATTAATATTATTGATTAAATATTTATCCATTTCTTGACTCATTAATTTTTCAATGAACAGTATTATAATTTTATTATGTTACATTGTTATTTTTACGTAAATAAATGTTTTTATTATACTAAGATCTTTGATTTATTTTTACCATATTGTTTAATTATTTAATTACTTTCACTGCCACAACTTATCATTAAAGTTACCTTTGATTAAGCTCAAAGTCATCTCACCCTCCCACGCCTTGATTATGATTCATTGTTAATTAAAAATTCTCGGCGAAAATGAAAGCCATTAAAATTAAAGATTTAAATTTGTTATTTTTATATTAATTTTTCTACCTTCTAGATCGCTTAGAAAGTTATAATTTACTTTCACTTGATTGAACATTAATTGACATTATAATTTAAAAAATAATCATTATTTTTTTCTTCTTCCTCAATGCCGTATCTTCAAAATAAATTGTTTTAATTGTCAACAAAAAAATCAATACCTGCTCAATTTTCCCAAGAATGTCTTGCGAAATTAGGTCACCTGTTTCTCAGATCTTTAGAAAAATTTTCTATTATTGTTATTACTGGATTTTCTCGCAATTGAAATGGAAAAAAAAATAAAAATAATAATTGCTAGCAACATATTACTTTTACTCCAACATTTATGACTAAAAAACGTCGATACTTTTTGCAACAGATAAATATTTAATATTTATTTATTCGTTAGATTTCTTGTAAAAATGAATTTTCCCGAGTAGAAGGGTGAAAGTGTATTTATGAAGCGTCGGTATATATATACAACTCGCCCGTGACTTTGAAATTATTTTAGTCCCACACTTGTCTTAGCTCTTCTTGTCGTCTCAATAAAATAACACAGCGTCTAGTTGCATTGTTTTGACACTAAAACATCGAGCGAGTTAATTATGAACCAGCGGGTTATTGTTTTGCTAGCTATTTGTTTTACAACGACAGCTTCCGAAAATCAAAACATTCCTCAGCGAGTTATCGTTGGTGTTCCGGAACACATAAGAGTACCGGTACCCGAGCCTTATCTAGTCCAATTCCAAGTTCCTCATCCATTCCCCGTGGAGGTAATTAAGCATGTGGAAGTCGCTGTTGAAAAACCAGAACCTGTTGTTGTTGATAAACAGGTAACTATTTTTTCTCCTTTTCTTAATTAATAATTAAAAAAATCTCTCAAATCTCCAAGAACCATAAAAATAATTAATATAATTTTTTTTCTAATAGGTTCCGTACATTGTAGAGAAACCATTTGCTGTTACAGTGGAGAAACATTTTCCTGTAACAATACCAAAACCATATCCGGTCCATGTTCCAGTCTACAAACACGTCTTTCACCATCAGTTTAAATCAAAAGGACGAAAGCAATAATTATTATAAATAAAACTTATTAATATTAAAAAATTGAGAGCCATGTTAATATTTATAGAAATAAATAAATAATTTAATTTAATTTAATTGAGTTTGGTATTGCGTAAAATTTAATATCTGGGGCGTATTTTTATGACAAGGAATAATTGCGTAAGAAATTAATTAATTTCATTAGAAACGACATCAATAGGTAGTTGTATAGATTCTATATAGATAGAATTACGTGGTTTTGAGAATAGAGAATAAAGGTACGTTGGTACAAGCCTTGGATGTGTTTTTATATATTAAACGTAATTTAAAAAAAAAAAAAAAAAAAAAAAAAAAAAAAAAAAGCCTCCGACGTAATCCCTTTGCCGGAGGGTAAGCTCTTATGGCAGTGGTAGAATTTATTCAGGAAATACCGGAGCAATAATTGCGTCACTGTCCTCGTTGCCGTTTGTTCGCCTTCTTTTAGACCAACTTTTTTTTTCCTCTTAAGGGAATTTCGTTAGGCGGGTCGCGGATTAGTCGAGGCTAACCGCGCCCTCCGTATGTCTCGCTAAGTTATAAAAGTCTTTACAAGTTTACTCCCGAGTTCAGTCGCGCATAATCCGTCATTTTATTTTCTGCTTATTGCCATGAAGCCATTAGTAAGTTTTTCATTCTAAATACATTTATTATTAATCTTTTTTTTCTTATTTAACAATAATTTTTCACAATTAGTGTCTCCTGATATTATAACTCTAATAATGAAAAATTACTTGTGTGTTCGGCAGATAATCAGCCTGATATGGCTAGTGGGAGTTTCTGCGACGACTGTTGAGGTTCTCGACGACAAAGCGTCTTCATCAAAGTCTTCAGAACCCAAATCAGCAGCTGCAGAAACTGTTAAAGACAAACGGTACGCTGTTCACGACTCACCCTCGTACTCTCACTTATCCAAACCATGCCCGCCGTCTTTCCCGCATTACCACGCACCGATGCCAGAAGTCCACTATCCAAAGCCAATTTACGGACCACCTGTTCATCCGAAGCCCGTCTACGGACCGCCAATTCATCCCAAGCCTGTTTATGTACAAGAGTACCATCCTAAGCCAGTCTACAAAGTTCCCGAGTATCATCCTAAGCCAGTGTATGGGCCGCCGGTTCATCACCAACAGCCAGTCCAGCTGATCCACCAGCCTGTCTACCAGTCGTACATCCCTAAACAGACGGTGTCTTATATAAAACCCCACGTGTCCAAGCCAGAGTACAACTACTTACCCGCAAAGCCTCATTATGAGAAATCACAGTTTGCGTACGCGCCTTCCTACCACCCAATGAAGCACGAGTACCACCACGAGTACAATAGTCACCAGACTTACCACATTCCCAGCCACTACGTCAGCAAACCCGGGATCGTCTACAAGGAGCCTGTTCACGATTGCAAGCCCTGCTATGAGCATCATCACGAGGCTTATCACCACCAGGAGCCTCAAATTATCCACGCTCCGCCCGTTTACGCAAAACCCCAGGTTCATTATCTGCCTACGCATCCTCACGTATCGCCTATTATCAAACCACTCGTTCATCACGCTCCTTGTCCATAATTATTTTTATTTTTTTATTATTATTAAATATTGTTGGAAAAATTATTTATAATATAAAGAGAGTTTATTCTTATAATTGTATCGATCTCGGAGGAATAAAATTTTTAATGCAATTTATTTAAATAATAATTATTGCCTTTTATGTATATTTTTCAGGTGGATAAATTTAACAATAGATAAAGTAAAAATTTTAATTCTCAAGGTTTTTTTTTTTTTTTTTTCTCGAGATTTGATTTGATGTGACTCGTTATATACATTTTTAATGGGTGTTGACATGGTATCCCACGATAGATCTCATTGTGTGTCTACTTGTACGGGATACTTTTCCCACCGGTAATAAATTACAAAGATAATATAAAATAGTAAATAGTATATTTACATTTCGACGGATTTCTATTCGACATTTCATTTGTGAATCAAACAATAATATATATATATTTATATAAAAATGAAAAAAAGAAAAGATGTAATACGTTATTATATTTTATTGTGAAAAAAATAATTTGTCGAGCAGAAATCGAAGGTAATTAGTGTGGTAATTATTTGTTATGTAGACGAAATTACACAAGGTCCATCTATAAATTTTCCCATATGCGTATTGTAAATTGTAACTCTATTGTAAACATCCGGCGATGGAATTTCGTATTCACATGGATGCTTTCGAAATAGATTTAGTAAGTAAGGTATAAAATCTGGAGAACTCTCCTTCAAACTCCAGTGGTTTGTGTCATCTCTTGGTGGTCTCAACAGTGATTGCAATGGCTAAGATTATTATTGTGAGTGTTTTTATATAAAAAAAATCTATAGACAGCAGCTTAAATAATTATTGGGTTCGTATTTTAGCTTTGCCTGGCTGTCATTGTTGTCACAGAAGCTGGATTGATAAGCAAAGCCCATCACGATTTCCCGTATCTAAACTCCGTTTATCATGGCCACGGTGCGACGAGTTACCAAAATGTTGATATACAAAATCACTTGTCGGTGCCAATTCCTAAAGATCTTCAAATAGACGACGGCCACGAGCACGCTTATGGTTTTAAATAGCTTATTTTATTATGTTAATATTTCACTCTTTGACAATTTATATAATTTATTTTCTCTATTTTAGATCACAAAATTGAATTAATTCACGCTCCGGAACACTCTGAGCCTTCATACGGTTCCTCAGATGGTAAATAAAGTCCTGAATAAATATTCTGTATTAATAATAACATTTAATGAAATAATTTTATAGCTTACGAAGAAGACTTACAAGTGGTTTATCGTTATCACCCAGATAATTACGGGCACTACGATAATCTAGACTACGAGTACCATTAAATTAATTGAATTAATAAGTATAATGAGGAGGATTGGATTTATATTTAATTAAAAAATAAAAAAGAAATATTATTTAGCTGTAAGAGGCCTACGATCTCTTTATTCCTCATTATCGTTAGAATCAATATACAGATTTAAAATAATTAATAATAATTTATTTATATGTAAATAACATTACGATAGCGAAAACCAACAATATAGAACCGTAAATCGCTAGATAATATTTATTATTATTATTATTATTATTATTAAACTTATAATAAAATTAATTATTTAGTCATATAATATGTACAATGTCATTTGCCAACGCAAAATATACACGTACAATAATAAATACATACTTTTTTATACCTTTTATTTACTTTTGATCGATAAAATTTTCGTTTTATGCTATAACAATAGGTAATATATCTATATATTTATTATTATTTATTTTTTTAATAAAGTTTTGACGGCGAATAAAACACGAAGCGACCGTCTACGTGTTCCCTTGAAAATTACTCTAAAGACTTTTGTTTGACTAGATCACTTTTTTTTTTTTTCTTTTTAATTTAATAATATATATTATCAATTAATTATTATTGACTGCTCGATCTATATATCACGCTACAACGTGGAATATTTATTATTAGACTGTTATAAAAAAATATTACCAAGAGATAAGCTACAATTTTACATTACCAATAAATATATAAATATATACGTAAGTGTGTCCATCATATATCATCATATCATATATATTTATATTTATATCAATAGATTGATAGTCTGTTTAATAAAAGCATCCGGCATATCAGCAAATCTTTAAAAATATTGTCATAAATAATAATTATAATAATAATAATAATAATAACAACAACAATTATTACCTACAAGTGCGTTTAATATCTAAGTTCTATATTTATATTTATAGGCAATTGTGCGTAGTAAATAAAATATTCTACACACATAATGGCACAAAAGTGGTCAGACGACTTTTTCCATTTAAAATAACTGATAAAAATAAATAACCGGACACTCTTGCTAAATAAACTATTTCAATTTGTTAAATATATATATATATTTTATTTTCATTATTTCTATTAGGTTTGTTTGTTTTTAGGATATTGTTGATTTTATTTTTGTTTACTCTCCACGTCGAGCGTCGATTGATGCAAGACAGAGCTAGGTACACGAGACCGCACTAACGCAAAGACTTGTTCCCAATTCCAATAGTTTAACGACAGTTATAAATTATCTGAGATTTTCTTTAGTAATGTTCTATTTAGTTTTAGTTTTTAGTTTCAGTTTCAGTTTCACTTATTTTTATAAGCTAGTTTGTTTAATTGTAAATTTATCCGAAGAGAAATCATACTTTATCTCTATTCGGCATTTTGATCACACGTAGAATTCATTCTTTGGACCCAACTCGTACTCAATCTGCTGGTTCTTGTGCATCTCCATCATCTGGAATTCATTTATCTTCATTAAATCGTTTATTTTCTTCTAATTAATCTATACATTTAATCCAATGGCTATTTTATTATTTTTCTAATCGAATTAAAAGTGTTAGTTTCCCTCTCTGTCTCTCTCTCTCTCTCTCTCTCTATATTAATAGCATGATAAACTTTTTTTCACTGATTTTGGAACTTCATAACTTGTAAACAGAGCAGAGTTCTGTAATAAACAATATATAATTTATAGATAATTTTATCCTCAACAAAAAAATCTCTACAGTTTTTAGGAAATATTTTTAAGAAATGAGTTACTAATTTTAAGAAATAATTTAGATAAAAGAATTTTTTTATCGGTATATATTTATAAAAAAATAAAAAGATTACCCCATTCATTTCCTTTTGCAATTCCTCAAGCTGTTCATTGTGTATCATTTTGAGCTTTTCCCTCTCGCGATTCTGAACCATTTGTGCGAATTTCCTCTCCTCCATGAACCTCTTGGTGTTGTTCTGCTGCTTCTCGCGCAGCCTGCCCTCCTTGATGCCGCGACTCTTGAGGGACTTGTCGTTCATTACCTCCTTGGTGCTTTCGACAGAGAGTCGGGCCTGCTTGGCGTTGAGCTCCTTGATTTCCCTCTCGTGCCTGGTGGTCAGGAGCTTGCACTGGTTGGCCTGGGCTGCAAGACAGAGCTTCCTCAGCTGCGTTCTCCGCTCCTCGAGGTGACCCAGAATCATTTCTCGCTCCTCCCGCCGCTGTCGCTCCGTTACGTTCGACCACTGGCTCGTCTGCTCCGAGACCGCTCTACGAACGATCGGATCCCTCGATAATTCCGCTTTGCTGATTTTGTTTGTCATTATAGTAACAAACGTCTTCTTTTACATCCAATCATTAGATGACTCAATTGTTTTTGTTTTAATTAATTATTAATCAATCATTTTAATTTTAAAAATAAGAGCTTTTATCTCTTACTCAGTATTGTGAATTTTAACAAACGAGTCAACTATCAGCAGGTTGGATCTTTTTAAAAATAAATACTCACTTTTTTCCCTTAATAAGCTTCTCAATGGCAGCGCACTGCTGCTTCTGGACGGTATTTCTTTCCTTGAGTTGGCGTTTTTTGAAAGACTCGAGTTCTTTCTGCTGCTTACGGACTAATTTTTGGTAAGCTTTCTCTTGGCTTAATACTTCCATGGTTATTGGCTCGAAATCCATTATTTCTATATTTTTCAAATAAAATGATAAAGATAAAAAAAACATAATGTTTAATAACCATTATGTTTATGCATTAATTAATTAATTAATTGAGAAATAATGAACCTCTGGGTTTGGCGGCTTCAATGGATCGTGCCTGAGATGAGTCTCCCGATATTTTGCTGTCTTCATCTTGGCCTCGAGTGCGGGGTTGCGACGGAATTTCTGTCTTTCTTGGTGCTCGTGGCGCCGTTAAAGCGTCCATAAATTCTAAACACCAAACCATTTATAAATAAATGAGCTTTAATAATTTAACAATATTGTTATTATCGTACCTTGAAATCCATCGGGAACGTAAATTTTGATTTCAATATTACAAAAGAGCATGGGAAGAGACATGGGAAAATTGGCCTCTGTGCGTAACGCAATGTGACGGTAACCCGACTGCAAACCATCTAGAGGAACAATCCTCTGGCCGAGGAGTTTTCCATTTGACTCATCGTAGACCGCGAATCTGAGAGCTGCGAGGTCGGGCAGTACCACTTTCCTGAAGAGAAAAGGCTCCTCATTGTAGACCGGATTTAGACCGTTGGCGGGGACCACTCGGGTGCGGAATTCCTTTCTGATAGTGTCTGTGGGAAGGCCGTACATCTCCACCTCGACGTAGGTACCGACTTTTTTGTCAGACAAAAACTGTCCCGCGATAACCTTTTACAGAAAAATAAAACGGAAATTAATTTTTATCATTTGATTTATTTATTTATTTATTAAAAAGTCTAGTACCTGGACGCTGCATGACGTTGCTATGACACCGTCAACTGGGCTCTCGGCAAATGGATCGAAGCTTCTATCAGCGCGTCTCATAAAGTCGGGCTTTAACAAGTAGCCTGACGATCCGTTATATTCAAATTTGCCTTGGTTCAATTGCATCGGTAGGTCGGCCGTTTGAAAATTCAACGAGACCATTTGGCACCCGGCATTCCAGAAGACCTGACCATTACGAATCGCCACATACACACATTTAATACATCAGTTCAAGGCTTTTTGTTTATTTACTCTTTTTTGTTTTTTTTCTGTTTTTTTATCTAACAAAATTAGCTATTGATTTGAAAGAATAGATTACCTGAGGCATGTAGTTTGATGAGTCAGCTCTGGTGCCTTTAGGATAAATTCTACTCATTTGCCGTTTATTGTAATTGACAAATTCTATTGCCGAAGTCTTGAGATGATTGAGGCCAGTGTTTTCAGCGAAAGAAGACATGTGATAGTGCATGTTTTTTTCTGTTTATTGTAATAAATAATATGACTATGATTTCAAGGAAAAAATAATAAAGATTTTAAAGATATAATAAAGTTCTTACGTTCGGCCTCGTCGAAACCTTGGAATTTTATGGGTTGTGCATAGTTTACCATGGAAGATAGCCAGGGATGGACGTTTGTTGTACTACCGGTGTAAGGCTGCACGACAGCCAATTCAATGCTGTCACCTAGACCTGCTGGACCTACGCCAGAATTTGATGAGTTTTGCTGCACCGCGACAACATCCACCACTGCAGAGTCTACCTAAATTAATACAATTAATATAAAGATAAATGTTTAACTATTTAAACAATTGTAGATTTTATTTTCTTACAACGATTGATAATTTATAATTGATAAATGATCTGATTAATATTAAAATATTAGGATAAAAGTTACCGATTGCTGTTCTACAACTCCGGCAACAACAGCTGGTGCACTTGCGTCCTCTTTGATCTCATCCTCGATAACAAATTGACCTTGCTTAAAGAGCTCCAATTCTTGCTTCTCAACCTCTGGTTTCAGTCGCTTATTCTTGATAAGAATTTTACGCTTGAGAAGACTCGGCGGTGGTAGTGGGACACCAGGCTCCAACTAATTCAATTTATCCCGTACATCACGTTTAGTTAATTTAAGTAAAGAGGAAAAAATTTAAAAGTAAGTCCATTACTAAAACCACCTTATTGCTATTACACTTAAATCTAACTTTGTTAGCTCTGATTAAATTTATTCATTGCATCAGATATTTAATCCTTTTAAATTTACAAAATCCCCTTTAATCCAGTCAATAAAAAAAAGCGAATTCAAAGACAAAATCTTTCGATTTACAATAAGGAGAAAAAAATAATAAAAATTAATATATATATATATATATAATTACCGCGTAATCTTTGAGTGGTTCTTTTAGCAACAGGTCGCCTAATATTTCATCACAGTATTTAGCTAATTTGTACTGCTGGGTTTTGCTACAATGATTCTCAAAGCTGAGTATCACCGGGTACTCTGAGGTGACAAACGCAGTGTCCCGAACCGCGTAAATAACGTCTTTGAAGAGAATTGCCGTGCACATTGCTTTTCCGTGGGTTATAATTGGCTCCTCATCCTCGCCTTTTCCGTCCCAACAATCCAATTCAACGCATCTACACAACCAAATAAATATTTATTCATCTATAACTAATATCATATTTTATGGATTAACAGTTATAATAATAATAATAATAATAATAATAATAATAATAACAACAACCTGCAACCAGCGAGTAAAACTTGACGATACATTTCAACGCTAGACTTGCCGCCAAACTGTCTGCCGCTCAAATAAGTATTATGACTTGAATTAATATAATAATGGGATAATGGCTGATCCATGTCCATGTAGACGTCCAATCTGTCGAGGAAAACTGGAGCGTTCTCATCTGACATTAAATACCTGATAAATCCATCCTTAGTCATTGTTTCTGGGGAGAAATATAAACAAGTTTAGAACGGGTCAGTCGGAAATAGTTCCATTATATATATATGTATAATGTATATTGATCAATAGTATTGACGTTATTTAATGGCTTACGGAAATGTACAAATAAAAATACTAATAATAATTATAATAAAAAACTTACTTTGATTTCTGTAAGTTTCATTCTGCTCGTAATCATTAATTATCTCAAAAGCCCGTTTGTCGTCATAAAGGGGATACAAAATTTCATTTAAAGTTGGGTCACGTTGTTTCTCATTCAGAAAAGTTATCAATTGTTCCAAATTAATTGTATCTGCTTTGCCTTGGGTTCTAAAATTATAGTTATATTGTTGTTGTTGTTGTTATTGATAATTTGATTTTATTTAACACAAACAATTCAAAGGTTGTTTATTTTATTAAAAATTCATTAAATCATTTTAATGCTTACATGGATTGAAATAATTCTTCAATGTCATTCCTTGGGCATATTTTGTGGTAGAGAGCGTAAAACGCATCGAATGTAAAATCATCTGGTTCTATCACATCATTCTACAGCATATAATAATCAATAATCATATATACTACGGATAATGGTTATTGTTAAGGGAGAATTTTGTTAACGGGCAGATAAACAAGGGATGATATTGATCTCGAGTTTTTCGAGGGTAAAAAAAAATAAAAAAAGTAAAACCGGAGAGGAAAAAGAACAAGACGTCTTAGTCTTACCTTGCCGCTCGGTAAACCTAAATCAGACAGACACTGATAAACCAACTTCTCAGTCTTTCCAGAGGCAAAAGTTCTTGCAACAACCTTCACAGGTACCTTCCCATTGGGATCAACCAGCATCCTCAGTCTCATCCAACTTGACAGAAAAGTTTTACAAAACCAAATTTAGTTTCATCATATTATTTACATCACGTCTTTCGAGAATCATGTAATTATTTTGTTAAAGTTTTTTAATTCCAATTAAAGTAGAATAAAAAAAAAAAAACTGTATACATTTGTATAATCGCATAGACACGAGCAGGACAAATATGTTGATAAGATTACCGCATACTTACTGTTTTTTCAAACAAGTCAGCGGACATATATTGTTGGCTTTGACATTGTGAGTGATACGTCTCATTCCAGCCAACCATATCTACAACAACAACAACAACAACAACAACAATTTATTTATTTTATATTTACAATAAAATAATATAATTGATTAAGTGGCTTTTAAACTTTTATTTAACAACTAAATAATTATGGGAGCGTTGACAGTAGTCGGGGTGATTAGAATTTTGTCAGGGAATTGTGTTAATGCCAAGTGAGTCAGCTAAAAAGTTGGCGTTCATTCATTTGTTAACGACAATATCTGTCTCTGTAATTGTCAACTGAAGCGTGTAGTCGGTATTAGTATACGTATAAATAAAACGAATAAAGGAAGTTAAGAAATAAGCGATATTATATGCTGTCTGATGTTGTGTCTTATTATTATTATTTTTTTATTGTATAGTTAATGTACACACCAGTGGACAACAGAATATAAATTGATAAAATTGATTTAGCGGTTCAGTTGTAGATCGTAAATCAGTAACTCCCACGCTTGGGCAGCAATAAGTCGACTTGCTATTCAAATTCATTTTAAAATAGAATTATATGTGTATATTTATCAGTTTTAGTTTGGAGAATTTATATATACCACGTGCTCGCTCAGCTTGTACATTTTAAATTTAATATACAAATGTTATCATTTAAACATTACCAAGCTTAAAAGTTTACAAACTGCTGTTGTTTGTAAGAAACTAAATTTTTATTACACTGTTTTATTGTTTTCTTCGAATAATTATTCAAATATAGTAGATAAATTTTTACACTAAACAATTGTTTGGATTACAAAAAACAGAAATAGTTTAATTTAAACAGTTGATCAAATACAAATGTGAATAGTTTAGATACCTTAGCAGTATTGACATCGGGACAGACAACATGTTGGTAATTAATATTCGTGTAATCAACTCCAGAGCATATGGCAAGACTTTTATCGTCTAGTTGTTCCCCGTGCTTGGCCACCAGCTTGTCGTACAGCTTTGGATCCTACCAATCCAAGCATACTTTTATTATTATTATTATTATTATTATTATTATTATTATTATTATTATTATTATTATTATACTATTACTATTAAAACCACAAACTACAGCCGTAATAACTACTGCTTGAGAAGTTTACACCCACGCAGGCAGAGTGATGAATAATGATAATCACACAATGCATCACTAATTGTTATAAAGTATAAGACTATTCACCTTGGGTACACCTCCAGCCCGTATGTCGCTCACTTGACAAAGCTCGATGACGTCGCCGTCCTGTTAACAATACACAATACAAAATACAAAATAAGTTTCACCCATTATTGACATAATAATACCCAATAATTTATATTTCTAATAATAATTACTAGCAATTGATTGCTATTTATACCTTTCCCTCGCTTTGCCAGTAAATGAAAAAGCCATATTCGTCGACCTTAAAGAGACAATTAAGTTCGATTTCAGTATTATCCTTCTCCTCAGTCCACCTATCAAAGACACATCCCTCGCGGAGAGCCTCCGGTACCTCGATCTGCCAATTAAACTCAAACCTCTTGGTCATATTGTTGATATTTTTATCCCGATTAATTTTTTTATTTTTGTAACTCTCTGAAAGCTGCTCGGCAATTAGAAAACCAATTGTGTAGTACACTTGTGCTCTGCTTCTGCAACAAATAAATTGTTTTGTGATAAAAATAAATAATAAAAATAGATAAGGGTTGATTAAAATAAATAACTAAACTATAAATAATTGAGTGCATGAGTTGTATTAATAGTCTAGAGTGAATAGAATTAGTTGTTTGTTGCGGGGAAAGTTTGTGGGTGGTTGATAATATAAAGTAAATTTGGGGACGTGTGATCGGATCCGCATGAACTGGAGAATTCGGTGGGTAATCGAGCGTTAACCCTCTCTCCGGGTATAGGTTTAGAGATACAAAATTATAATATTTAGGTCTCCAAAGTCGATTGCTCAACCTCGTCGTGTCTGATGGTCTACTGGTATTATATACATATATATATATATATATATATATAATACACTCGTGTGTACTCTTGTACTCTTGTACTCTTGTACTCCTCTAAGTTGCTTTCATGTTCAATGGCCCGCAAGATCGCTATCGAGTTGTAAAAATTTCAACGTTATGTTTCTCAGTATTATTATTTTATTTTTATTTTTTACTCTCTTTAGTTCTCGAACGCCTTTTTAGCTTTATTGCCGCTTGTTACCTTTTTTCTGACCTCAAAGAACGCAAAAAATCCTCTGCTTTATGTATTTACTGTACTCGCTTGACAAAAGATTTGTATCCGCTACAAACAACTTGTCTGTACTTTTTTAAAAACAATTATGTTACTCTTTCATCTTCTTTTTTTACTATAGACACTTTTTTTTTTATTTTCTACGACATATTTTGACATTTAATCAATTGAAAAAAAAAAATAATAATAATAATATTTATAAAGCTATAGAAAATTTTTTTTGACCTTGATTCACAGAAAAAAAATGAAAAATGTTAATTATTTAAAGAATGTAATTGTTGCTTTTTTAAAAAAAAAAAAAGTATTGAATTGTATTTTAAAAGAGCCGACAAAACATAAAATATAAATTAACAAGTAATTTAAAGTGAATTGTTCCCAGCAGGCATTGTTTAGTTGACAAATATAAACAATTAAAGTAAATAAGATAAAAGTTAGTTTGGACGATATTTGAGGTCATATTGAGAAATGGATTTAGCAAACGTCAGTAAGTTAAACATCTTGAAAACTGCAGGAGCTCGGGATCTAGCTCATGGATATTCCAAGATATATATATATATTTAGTTGTTGTGTCTGTATTAGTATTAAAATTATAGATATAAAAGTATATTAAACTCACCGTTAAGAACTTTTCTTTCGAGTGGAATATCTCATTTTAGTTTGTCGCTGCACCTGTGGAATTAAAAACAAACTCATCACCATCAAAAACTTTATATCTTATGGTTAAAACTAAACTCGTTACTTTTTTTATTTTTATCATTATTATCGGAGTTTTATTTCTCCTTTTTATAGTGCGTCAGAGCTTCCCTCCATTTTATTTTCATCTCTCTTTTTTTTATCTTTTTTTTTTTTTTTTTCTTTTTTATTGTTACTTTAATCGGCTAATTTGTCACCTGTCTATCAGTTGGCTTTCACTCTTATAATCCTCAACATAAACAAAAAAAGAAAAATGTACTTTTGAATATTAAAGAGGATTTAAAATTTTTCCTGGTTTATTTAAAAATAAAACGATATTTTATGGTTTGTTTGCTTGGTTTGTAAATCCGGATATCCCCAAACGATAAAGCGCATTATAATAATAACAATAATAATTGTTATTTAAATTACATGGTATAGTGATTAACGAGGATTATTAAATAGACAATGAGTGTAATATGAGAAATACAATGACGTTTAATTAATAACGTAGAGAGATGTATATAATAATGTATAGAGATAGATGAAGTTAGCAGGAGCTGCTGTTTAAATCTTGTATCAACATTCGAACATCACTGAGGTGTTAAAATCAACGATATATATGTGCTATATAATGTGTGTAATATATAGGTAGAGATCGAGAAGTGGAGAATTAAGCCTTGGGGTGGGTGTGGATGTGGAAAAATTACAAAAGTTTGTACCGTGTTTGCATTTCAATGCAGGAATATATAAATGTATAGATGTTATGATGATGATCACTACAATGGTGATTAATCCTTGAAATATTTGCATGTATAATATATGGGACAATATTTATTATATGACGTAAGTATAATCCCATGAGTTTAGAGAACGAATTCCGGATTAATGAAATAACGTAAATGTCATCGCTGCTGTCAATAATATTTTTCAAAGTTATTGTAAGCGATATATCTATTTAAATATAATGTTATCCATTATTCTATTTTTAGTTTTAAAAACTTTTGTTGTATTGTTGTTGTCATGGAATTTAAATTTTCGGGGTTTAAAAATAACAATGTGATTTTTTATCTCGGAATTTAAATTCAGCTGGGCAAATTGTTGAAAACACCGATAAAGTGTTTTTATAAAATTTTACAGGAAATTGAATTTTTTACAAAAGGCTCGATATAACTTTAGGTATAAATCCAATAACTCAACGGAGGAGATATCTCATTTTAAAGTAAACTATTGAAAAAATTCAAAGAAAAATAATCAAAGAATTTTTTTTTTTAATTGATTCAGAGATAAAAATAGATTTTCTTCACTCAAGCAGTATATAGTATTAGGGGTAGTATTAGTATCATTAAAGAAAACTTCCATATCATTTTCTTTTCATATTAAATTGTTGAAATATTTTTTTTCTTAATAAAAACTTTAAAAAGTGGAGTTTTGATGATAAGTTGCATTATTTTCGGCAAGGTCATCACTTTGCTGGGAATAATTTATCGAATCCCGATAGCGCGTGGTCCATCGATCGAAGACTACGAGATAAAGTCCATTGTCATCATGTCTCTGGGCCACTACTACTACTACTACTACTACTACTAATACTTGGACAACACCTTCTCACGTAAACTATTACCTTGTACATCTACATCTATATCTTGATCTGTACCTCGACTACTAATACTACTACTACCGGTAAAATTCGTCATGTCTGCTCTAGCTTTTACAGACACTCTTACTCTTGCTCTGTTTCCAGCACACCCGTACAGCCTCTTTCTATGTCTATATATATACATAACAATTCAGCTCTACTCTTTGCTTCTCGATGACCTACTATAAACACCAATAATAGAATACGGAAGATGATTAATCGCACTCGTCGATACTTAATTAAATGTTATTGCTTAAATAATCGCGAAATAAGTCCGATATCCTAATAGCGTCCTTTTTTTTTTTTTTTTATATCACTATCATTGAAATTATTGTCGATCATATGTCACTAATTAAATCCCCTCAACTTTGTCCGATTTATAGAGGATCAGTTCTATTGGATACGCTCATCCACTGACCCATTATTTTTATCGACATCAGTGATAATAATATGTTTTTATCTTTTTCCAATTCAAAAGTAATTAATACCTCCGCATCGCGTTTAATCATCCGTTTATTTTTAATTAATCTAATAAAAATTTATTCGAAAATTTGAATCTATAAGGAGTAAAAAAAAATAGTACCTAATTTTATCCGTAGAGAAATAAAAATGTTAAAAGTCAAGGCTTTTTATAAACAAAAAATAACGGAGGCTGTCCGCAAATATTGCGAGTAATAATATATGTATATTTCGCAGTGCATAATACCTTATATATATATAAATATATATATATAAATGAAAATTAATCTGGAATATAAATCGTTTGATCTCCGAGTTATGACTTATGACTGACATGGATGATTGAACAACGGAAATAAAATATAGTTACAAGTTTTAAGAAAACAATAACAACAATAATAACTAACATTTAAGTTAAATTAACTTGTAACTATCAGATAGTGTGGGGTCAATAACATTTTCTGAGGCTTAACTTCTAATCGATTCAAATCTACCCCAAGTTTATTATAAATTTTTGATAAGCTTGATGTATATTTAACCCTCTGTAGTCTCTTGGTAAAAATTTAAAGACAATCTATCATTAATGTTTAGTGATGATTATAATAATATAATACTATTATTACTTTCAGTATTGTTAGCATGACAAGTGACAAGGTTTGTACCTGAGAGTAATTTGATTCACTAATTAATAAATCATCCGCCTAAATGGCTGACACTTTGTCCGTATCCCCTGACTAATCAAATGTAACCGAATAGACACGCATGAGCAAAGGATACACATATACACCAATCTATTATCCGGACTTTAGTGCATAAACTGTGTCATAAGTGCCATCAAAGAGCATACTAAACTCATTGAGATGCAGATAATACACCACCGTTAATATACAGTTTATGATCTATCCTATTGAACATAATAATAGCCACCGACAATGTCACTCTAAATGATAAATAAATTAAATCTAATTAAATAAAATAATAATGTTATAGAATAGACTTACAGGCCAATGAATGATTACCGGCCGTACAGCAGCACTCGCGAAATCATCTCTACTGGGACCCGTGCGTGTCACGCGCGGGTTTATTGTTTCAAGTTCCTCCAACCAGTGACTTATAGCACTGGACACTCAATTTATTAAGCTTATTGCGGACTACATTTAACGAGTGGTTGACACATGAGCACAGACCAGGTTGAGGATCTCCAGGGGGAGGACCAGAGGATTAAGGAACAGGACCCGCGGTTAGATAGTTTTATAGTTCCCACTATTAGATTCTAGCCACGCTAGTAATGATGTTGTAGCGGCGATACACGGGCAAGCATCGAGCAAGCCAAACTGCCAGGAGGCCAGCAGAGGCCAGGTGCCACTGAATAGCTCGATACTAGTCAGATATTTCATTCGCGCATGTGCCAAAACCCCCAAACAACCCGCGACTGCTGCTACGCGAGCTGCTGATATGTATTTATCAATCTACTGCCCAATATTTTTGTAAACAATTTTTTTTTTTTTTTTTTTTTTTTTTTTTTTTTTTTTTATTACTCTCATTCAATCTTCAATTTATTTGTTTATAAATGATTTTTTTTTTATCAGCTGCATTATCAGACGCTGGACTGAGAGGTGGTTTTATTATCAGCAGCTGGATCTTGTCTACTGTCGATAAGTGAATCGACAGCTGCTGGTTCAGCAGACAAGACTCTTATCAGCAAATGTTAATTTTCAGAGGTAATAAACGCAACTTTTCTATATCAATTGGTTAATTAATTATTGAAAATAAAACTGCGTTGGGTTGAAAGCAGGACATGAATATCTAATTTAAAAGGAAAGGGGATTTCAATTGGCTATTAGCTCTCATAAAAGATTCATTTCTCGGGTAAAGTTTTCCAATGAAATGACCGCACCGAGTTCCCCAGGAAATGCCTCGGGATATCGAATAATAGTAATCCGAGGTATTGTATGATTAAATAATTGAAACCGAATCCTCGTTCTCGTTCTCGAATTCCGAAGATATTGCGAGCTTTGCATATAATAAATACAATTTTAAATACTTAAAGGTCTTATATACTCGTATTACCTCTGTAATTGTTGGGGTAGTTTTCATTATTAACTCTCTAATTGTACACTGCGTAGTGCATAAATATATTAAATAACAATTAAAGTAACAAATGTTAATAAAACAAAGGGAATTAATTCATGATAGAGAGCTTGTTTGAGAAGATTGTCTTTAGTAATTAGCGAGGCTTAAGGGGTTAAACAAATGAACAGGAGAGAGAGAGAGAGAAAGTAATAATACCTCTGATAATGGAACAAGTTGTAGGTATATACGATTACCTGGTTAGCAAGGTGTCTTGATGTCGCGGGATCTCGAGATGGTACAATTTAGTCATGACTTGTAAGTCTTGAGTTGAGTCTTGAGTCTTGAGTCTTGAGTCTTGAGTTTTAAGATAAAGATAAAGAAGGTTATTATTCAAAAGGGTCGACAGGAGCATTTTCACTTTCAACAGCGATCCGTCTTATTTGCATTAATTATCACGGGTTAAAGTTGTAGCTTGTACTTTGGAGTTGGTACGGAGATATAGAAGAAGCTTTGGTTGTTAGTTATTGCAGCCAGACGAGTGCCTAACGCTCTCAAGTATTATGAATCGACAAGGTGAAAGAGAGAAAGAGAGAAAGAGAGAAAGAGATAAATAGAGAAATAGAAAAAGAAAGAGGGAGTTTAAGTGAAGAGGGTTGTCGAGCTGTTTTCCTTGAAGGGTCCTCACCCCAAAATTACTGGCATCCGTGTACTTGCGCGTAAATATGATTAATCATCTAGGGAAATTGGGGGAGCAGCTTACCAAACTCCAAACTCCTTTTCCATCTTATTCTTAAATGTCGCGATTCTTATATTTCTTATATATTTTTATGTTAAGGTATTAATAAAATATAATAATTTCTTTTCGCACTTTCCCGATTATTTTTATTATTTTGTTTCTTTTATATTCCCGGGCAAATGGAACTCTCGTAAATTTTATATTATTTATATATCTACCATAAAGTATACAACACTTTTAAACTTTTATTTAAATTACTCTTTTCACTTCCGTAATTATCTTTATCAGGTAACCTCATTTATTTTATTAATTCCTATCATTAATAATATTGATAGCGATATTTATGATGATGAGAAAGAAATATTATTATAAATTTCAGTTAAATTGGGGGATTTAAATAAATAATATATCTCTCATATTTTGATACTATAATTTATTATCAACAATTTTTTACACTTTGTCATTTTTAAATATATTAGATATTTAAGTACATATTGCATTAGATCCAACTCATTATTATTTTATTTAGTCGTTTAACGTAATTATCTACACAATTTTTTTTTTACTTTTTTAATTATTTATTATTAGCAAATCAAAATAGCTTAATAACTATTGCCCTGTATAGACCTTTTCGAATTTTATTAGTACTCGGTAGTTATTTTATTTATAGATAATAGTAAAATCGATAAGAAAATGTTTTTTAGCATTTGCAGTTTTTTTTTTAACTGACTTACAATTTTTAATTAATAAACTCTGCACTCGAAAATTCAACACTCACTCAAGTTAAACAATTTTCAAGACTCGGGCTCAGAGAATCTCAAAAATTGTCAACTCAATAAATCATTTATTACCTCAATAAGTAAATAAATATTTAATAAACTTAAAAAGTATTTACAGACACTTAATTTTAACTAATTTAATAATAATTTAAATTTTTTAACAATTATATATAATATATCAATAGGTATTTATAGTTATATACAGAAGAGAACGTATCAGATTTTTAGAAAAATACGCGACATTATATTTTACGCAAGAACAACAACATTTTTAAAATGTCGTTTGTTTTCTACCAAAGAATCTAAGCTTAATTATTATTATTACTTTAAAAATTATCTTTGAAGCACTTTTTGGCTACATTTTTAACTAATTCATTACAATTACAATTAACAATTATAGTATTATAATACTTACTGGAATAAAATATGTTTTTGGTGGGTGTTTTTTTTTTTTTTTTTTTTTTTTTTTTTTTTTTTTTTTTTTTTTTTTTTTTTTTTTATCTATCACGTCATCAGCAGTACTAGGCTCTAGTTTTACATCAAAAGCTTCATAACTACAGACAATTATCCCATTTAATTTAGTAAAATTTGTTTTGTTTTAATGTCGTAAACGTAAATTTGCTAATAAAATAAACTAAAGTAATAACTTAACTTGTATTTACAAATGTACAGAATAATTTAATAGTAAGTCAAAAGCATTCCTTAGATATAACTATTATTATTATTATTATTATTATTATTATTATTGCGCGCAGAATTTCTACACTCGAGACGGAGTATACTTATAGATTAGCCAAAGCTTAATTACTTTATTTATTTCTTACTGATGTGTCTACATGGTTACTTTTATTTTGATTTCAAATCCTATCGTTAATTACTTCTGGGATCTGCTTTTGATATGTTTGTTTTTGAAATTCGATTTAAGAGTTTAATAACACATCCACTAAAGTACTAATATGATAAACAATTGTTGTTAATTATAATTATAAACAAAAAAATATTTAATCTACATAGAATTTATTTTGAGCGAAAAAATATTGCTACTGTTATACTTTATTTATCGGCTGATGGATCAAATATATTAAATGTATTTGATGTTATTTTTAATTTGGCAAATTCATATTTATATATGTTAATAAAATATGTTGGGTAATCTCGACACAACCTGGACTCAATCAACCATACGCAGTATCTATTAAATACGTACAAAAAATTGTATTTATCTTTATTATTATTTATACTTTCAATCGGATGTTTTTATTTCTGTCTCGAAAAATAAAAATATTTTGTCATTAAAGTGTCAATCAGGAAATTTATTAGATTACTAATTTTATTATTTATTATTATTAGAATAGTGTACAAAAAGGTGACTACTGACTGATGTTAATAATAATTTAGATCCTCATAAGTTTACGGAAGGCTTTTCGAAATTCCGGATTGAAGACTGTGTAGATCACTGGGTTTACAAAGCTATTCATGTAGCCCAGCCAAGAGGTGACGATGAAAGCTGTTACACCAGGCTGACAGTCCATTTTCAGTTTGGAACACAGCGCGTCCATCACATTGCAAGTAAAAAATGGCACCCAGCATATTAAAAAAACTCCTGTCAACAGAAAAACACAAAAAAAAAAAAATAACAACTTTAAATAAAATAATAATAAAAATTACCAAGCACAATGGCGAGTGTTTTAGTGGCCTTTCGTTCTTTCTTGACGGAGCTTTTTTCTCGCTTCTTCTTGCTGGCTTTGTTGGCTTTATATATCGTGAATCTGGAGGTGCTGTCGCTGGGCTTTTTGTAATTTTTAACTTTGTCGGGGCCTCCTCCAGCTGTTACGCCGGGCCCGGTTCCGACATTAAGGACACTACGGCTGCGTTTGAATTGCGCCGGCAAAAGTGACCCAGTGCTCTTGAGTTTCTTGAGTCCTTGCTTGTTCAGACCGTTGGTGGTTTTTTTAATCTGGGTAGCACTCCTAAGAGGCGGAGGCGAGGACGAGGTCGAGGAGGACGGTGCAGAGGTTGTCCTCGGGTTTGGACTCGGGCTTGAATTCCCCTCCATTGTGCTGCTCACAGCATCCTCAAGACACAGATTGTTAGAATCGCTCCTGGTTGAATTAGAGCTAGTCAAATGTGCCTTAGCAACGACTCTGAAAAAAAAAAAAAAAAAAAAAAAAAACATTTTTAAAATGAAAAAAATATAAATATATCAAAGGAATGAATTTTTAACGAGTCCTCGAGAGGTTCTGCCGGGTGGAGAAAAAAAATATATAATAATAAAAATAAAGGTCGAAAGAAGGAAAAGAATGATATTGTAATTTTATTTATCTTACGCAGCTTCCTCGACGACCGTAGCCATGAAAAATTCAGCGCTCTTGTCATTTGATATGACAACTACCGGGTCAACGGGTGTCTCGTCCTCGTCCTCATTGCTACCGGAGGCTGTATTTGTCGGCTCTTCATGTACCGGCGCCACAAGAGTGGCTGTTCCCAGTGCCGTCTCCGCAAACCTTGCGACAGAATAAACACTGCGTGATTTTAGTTTTATTTAACTACTTTCTATTCTTCGTACTAAATATTATTTTGGAAAAAAAAAAAAATTAAAAGAAAAATGACATAATTAATTTAATAAAACTCACCGTTGGGTATGTATTACGTTTTCAATTATACTATTTGGTTTGATATCTCGTAAATTAGATTTTTTGTGAGCTCTTGCTTTAGCAGCACGTATTCGAAGTGCCTAAAGCAATTTAAACAACGTAATTAGATTTAATAATTTTACGTAATACTGTAATTAATATTTATGCGCTTATGCGATTATACCTTGAAAATATTCCAGTACAAGAAAACCATAATAATACAGGGAATATAAAAGCTCGAGAGACTTGAGTAGATAATAAAATCAGAATTGTAAAAGACGCACAAATCTAGCTGACGCTCTGGTGTATTATTTAGGCCGAGAACTATTGGACTGCCAATCGCAGCAGATATTGCCCACACCAAAAGTATAGTCATCCATACTCTGGTGCTGTTTTTGTGTTTGGCATATTTTATAGGCTGTGTCACAGCTATGTACCTAAATTAGAAAAAATTTATTATTTCTATCTATCTATTTATCGATTTTTTTTCTTAATAAATTTGTTACCTGTCTATTGATATTGCTACTAAATTAAATATTGAACTTGTGCTGCACGTCACATCCATTGCGATATAAAAGTCACAAATAAATGCCGACAATGCCCATGCGCCATTCACCTGAAACAGAAATAAAATAAAATTTTAAAATTATTACCGCAATATAAGAAGAAAAATGAATAATAAATTTTCTTATTTTTTTGGCAAACGCAGAATTGCGAATTAGTTATTTAAAAAAAGGTGAATAAAATATACTTTTTAGTTTGCCCGATGCCAAAAGACTTGAGGATAAAATTCACCGACAGTTAATTTAAAAACAAAATTTGAATTTTATTTGAGCTAAAACTGGAGGAAATGGAGCACGAGAAAATAAAGAGTGGTGTGTATTCTCGAATAAAGAGTGAAGAGTGAAGAGTGAAGAGTGAAGAGAAAAAGCTTGAATTTTAATGCCATTAGACATTTCAACGGATTTTTCGTTCTCAACTCTCAGCCCTGATTTATTCCCGTTACTCGTGTCTTGACTGCCAACGAATAGCTAAATTATACTCACCAGCAGAGAGAATAAAAGTTCCCCGAGCCCCAGAGACGGGATCACGAGCGAGAACCAACCAAAGACAACGAGAGACAAACAACACAACCATTTTCTCAACTCCTCTGCTCCAATTTAGTAGAAAATCTTTCGTTAATTAGACACACTACACCTAATTATCTCATAATCTTCATAACCATCATCTTGACACGATAACAACGGCTCGGCTAATTATAAATTATAATCGTACCAAAATTATCCACAAACACTCTAAATTTATATATTCATTATTATTATTATTATTATTATTAATTATAAGATCGGAGAGTGACTAAATTTGTAAATGGTTTTTAAAATAAAAAAATTTTTGATCGATTATTTTATCGCGTACATTAGGTAGAAGCAGAGCAGCTGCAGCATATTATGTATCAAGTAATAGGAGTAGTTGTACCAGCAAGTATTGTAAATTTTAGGCATCATTCTCTACCGAACGTGTCACTTTAGGTAACTCAATAACTCCCCACGGGTTTTCGAGTACCGGCGGAGCAAAATCGACGCAAAATTGATATAATCACGAAAGTTAAGCCACATAGACGTTGAAAGCTACAATGGTGTTTGCTATTCACTGTTGAGTGTTGAGTGTTGAGTGTGCTCTCGGTTCCAAGTCCGGCGGGAGTTTACAGTCAAGACTCACTAACAACAATAACAACTTATCGATCGTAATTCGCTCTATATTGTGTATAATAATAATAATAATAATAATAATAACAGGAGGACGCGTGTTGGTACCCGCCAGGAATTCTCAAAAAATATCCTCCGAGCTTTTTTTTTCTAAAGTTAATTCCATTTCCGCGGCGATCGCGACAACAGGTTATTCCCCAAAGAAAATACCGATAGCATCGCTCCAAGGAATTACCTTCTTTTTAAATTCAATTGAAAGTTAATGAAACAAAGTTTAACATATCTCTGAAGAAAAAAAAAAAAAAAAAAAAGAGAGTTTCGGAACAAAAATAAATCAAATTCTATATTTATGTGCCGAGAATTATTTTTATGGACGAGAAAAATATATTAAGATAACAGAGTTAGTGGTTAATGACAAGAACAGACTGCTGGATAAATACTTTATTGAAATAGATTGAAAAGGTTTGTCTTCATTGGGTTGTTTTTATGATTGAAAATCCCTCATTAATTTCTATTCTGTTGACCATCAGGTCGGATTTTTGCGGTACAAGTCAGCAATATACGGGTAGAGAATATAAAAAAAACAATAATGGCTCTTTGGGAATGGCCTCGAGCGAAAATAAATAAATAAAAAATAAGAAAAAAGAATAAGGACCAGACGGAAAGGAAAGTTCGTTAGGTTGTCAAAGATAGACGAGCCGTGACGATGCATCACCGAGATTGGTGGATGCACTTAACCGAGCTGGTACTACCATCCTCAAAGTATCGACAACTTTTTAAGAATGCCACTCGACTTGCTCGTCAACTCGTGTTTTATCTTTTTCCTTTCTTGGTACCTTGTTACTCGTGTCGCCGGTGGTGAAGATGGTGACACTGTTAAAGTTGTCCGGGTCATGATTTAATGTCTCCTTTACTAAATTATTTTTATTATCCAACCCGACAGTTTAAATTAAATATATATCTAGAGAGTGATTTATTGTAATTGAACAAAAATTGGATATCAATAGAGATGGTTATAACTGATAAGTATTATTAGGCATTGAGTACGTGCTTTAGATGGTGAAATAGCTAAATCTCAATGTAAAAGTTTTTAGTTGTATGAGTTTAATAACTGAAATATACTGTCAGGGTGGTGTTAAGTAGACGCGCTAATGGACTTGAGACACTTTAATGTTGAAAACGCATGAAACTAATTATCGGGTAAAATGAAATTGTGCTGGAACACTTGATATATGTCTACATATATATAATACATATAGGTAAAAGTATGTGTCTATGTGTATGGCATTAATTTAGTCACGTCCAAGTTAAGTGACTTAATGAATTTACGAACACGTTTCTATGGTAAAAAAAGAAAAAAGAAAAAAGAAAAAAAAATTACATGTTAAAAAATAACGGTGATTTATATCCTAGAATAAATTATATAAAAAATGAATTTTTAAGTGACTAATTTTGTTGGTTATTTATTGATCGGGTGATGAGGGGATTAAAATTTGACTGGCGATGGTTTTACAAATGATTGTAATACCCGTCGGGTGGGTTAAACGAAAATACAATCGGCAGATAAATTCGTGAGCAGAAACACGTTCGTGCTACGTGCTAAATTTCCCGTGGGATTGTCTGATGCGAGCTGTATCGTCAATAGCTGTTTCAACGGTAATCGGACAGACAGTGTGTAACATATTGTTTTAAAATAACCCATCTATCGGACAAGTCAACGTTAAATCCTTTTTATTTTTTTTAAATTTCTTAATTTGTTTTCGCGGGTCAGAAACTAAAACCAGAAACAAAGTTATTAGTCCGTGCATCATGATCAAAGATACATCACTATCAAAAAGTAATAACCATTTTTTCATTCAACCGGAATACCGATCGGTGATATATACTTGAACGAGGCATTAAATATTATTTTTATTGGTAGGTGATATCGGAGCATTACAAAATCGATTGCGTGCAATACCGAAAGGAAATGACGACCAGAAGATTGGATTACTGTTCCAATTTTGTGGATTTTCCGTTTCTCTGGTTGAACGCTTTCTCTGGTTTCTTCTTCGCTGGCTGCATTCCTTTTTCCCCTTTCCTCGGTTTTTTTTTTTCTTTTTTTTATCCTTTACGACAGTCTTATTGCTGTCCAAGATCCTCGATATTTCACAGAAATTCAAGATAAAAAAAATCTAATATATACTGATGATGAAACAATTTTATTTAAAACCATCAATCTACAAAATAGGAGAAACTTAATTTTTTCTGGTTGACGCGTTTGGTAAAGCCATGCAGGACTAAGGGATAAAGAGGGTCAGTTTGCAATGTCGCTCCAAATCATGAGTAGACTCTAGTGGGTCTAGTCTCTGTTCTGACATAAGACAACGAGGAACAGTGTAGAGTAAATCTCTGGGAGGAGCTTTCCCGAACAGGAGACCCGTTACGTTTTGTGGAGATAGAACACGTCGACGCCGGAAGCGAACGCCCGTTTCAAACACGTACATCGGATTTTCGTGCATCGTGATCGGATTAGATTCGCCACTGCCGCTACCGCTCTGTCCCTGTTCTATGTTATGTGTGTTCTATAAAGCATCCCCTTCACTTCTTCACTTCCCTCTTGATCCCCACTGTTCGCTGCTTTATCCGCCGCCATCTACAACTAAACTAACTTTGTCAACAACTTCCGCCAAACTATTCACGTCTTGAAATATACTCCAGAATTTTATTGGTCAACAATTATTTAACCACATATTCGTTACACGTCACTCACCCTTTTTTTCTTTTTATTTTTTCATCAAAAAAATAATTATTCTCGTGAATAAATATACATGAGACAATATTAACAACTATATAATAATAATAATAATAATAATAATAATAATAATAATAAGGATAATTTTGGGTGGATTTAAGAGAAAAAGGAGGAAAGGAAGGAAGGAAGGAAGGAAAGAAAAATTTGTCGGAAAGTTGGTTGGGAGCGTAACATTGCCTACATTCTTTAACATTTGTGTGTATTGCTCTATTGCTATATTGGTATATTGTGACGCTAATGTATTCAATTCTAAAAGCATTCTCGGAAACATTTTATCCGTTATTTTATATTCCCCCTTCTCTTAACGTCTTGAGCGGGCCCTCTGTCACTATCAGCCCTCTTTTCTTTCATCACCCCATATAATTTTGTTGATTTGATTCTTTTTTACTGGGAAGAGTATCAAGACTCCGAGACTCCAAGACTACCCTTAACATTTATCGCAGCTTGTCGAATGTTTCAGGCTTCGGCCCTAATCTCACGTTATTAACTTTTTCCAGAGAACCAGAGAACCAGAGGAAAATCCCCGGCTACTTAACTTCCGATCAGGATAGTTATTGCTTTTTTCTTTTTTCTTCTTTACTTTTTTATTTTTTATTTATACTCAATTGCTACAAAATTAAATTAAAAGAATAATTAATTGCTCATCTGGAACTTGAGAAAATATTTTTTTTTTTTTACCTCTTGAAGACTTGAAAAAATATATAGACTCTCAAGATCCAGAGATATTCAAGTGTATGTACATATATATTGACGATTTTGTCAAATTTATGGTCCCTACTGATAATAAAAAATATATAAAAAAAAATAATCTCATTATGGAGGTACTTTACGCCGACAAGTTGCCAGAAAATAGTGCGTACTCTCATACGCTCCACGTGTTCCATCTAATAAATTGCTAAATTATGCATTGAATATAAATTTAACTCAATTTTAACTGCCACTTATATCCACACAACTCATGTATTTGTTACAATATTAATTTTTTATAATTTATAGATATTATTAATTAAATATCCCGTACACTCGCCTGTTTAATTATTTATTATTACACTAATTAATTAATTAATTTTAATATTTATTACTCAACCATCTACCGTTTCATATATATTATTTATT